CCCCCTTTTTTTTCCCCCCCCCCCCCCCCCCCCCTCTTTTCCCACATTTATTTATTAAAATGCTAGTCGAGGAGGATATGAAAAGATACTCCTCCCCCCATACGTGGAATTTAGCCCACGACTACATAGCCTCAATCAATGCAATACGGATATCCACTCCCCTAAGAAGTCACCTTCCACGACCAAGATAGAGCACATTCTCGGGATTATTTAAATAAGACATGTGAGTCAAGCAAACCCGAACCGTATTAGAACTCCGCTATAGCAAACAAACAGGCTAGGAAGACGTCTAAGGCGCGAGTCAAGCAAACCCGACCCGCATAAGAAGAAATTTACTATGGCAAAAAAATGGGTTAGGAAGGCACCCAAGGCATGTGAGTCGGGCAAACACAACTCACAATAGTAGAAATCTGCTATGGTAGAAAAACTGATCAAGAAGGTGCCCAAGGCATATGAATCGAGCAAACCTAACTCGTGTAAAAAGAAATCTTCTATGGCGGAAAAATGGGTTAAAAAAGCACCCGAGGCAAATGAGTCAGGCATACCCGACTCACATAAGAAGAAATTCGCTACAACAAAAAAAAGGGGTCAGAAAGGCGCCCAAGGCACGTGAGTCAAGCAAACCCAATATACATAAGAAGAAATCTACCACAGTGAAAAATCAAACTAAGAATAGTTCCCGAAATGTATGAGGTATGAAAACTCGATCCACGACCGATAAAATCTGCTATAGAGATACGAGACGAAGAATGCTCAAAGCACGTAAAGACAAAAAAGACACGCTCCGCACCCTAGAAACTTCAAAGTATGCCTTTGCGGAGAGCCAAAAGATAGGGAATATAAAATTTATGATTATCATTTTTATCATAATAAATTTTTTTATTATAATGAATGAAAATAAAGTTTTTGTTTTTTTACTTTAATTTTTTATTTATAAATGGATGATAACTTGAAGAACACGTAACCGTGTCAATTATTGGTAAATTTTCTGGCGGCGGACGATTGTCCGTGGCCATGGCCGAGTTCCTGGCGGCGGACGTGCTGTGGAGCTTGGGATGGGGCGTGGCCGGGCTGCTGTTTCTGGCGTGGGCCTCGCGGGTGCTCAACTGGGCGTGGTGGAGGCCGAGGCGGCTGGAGCGCGCGCTCCGGGCGCAGGGGCTCAAAGGCACCGCATACCGCTTCCCCTACGGCGACCTCAAGGAGAACGCGCGGTTCAGCAAGGAGGCCCGCGCCAAGTCCATGCCCCTCGCCCACAACATCATCCCTCGCCTTCTCCCTTTTTATCATCGCGCCATGGACGAGTACGGTAAGCGCTTCCTCCTCCTCCTCTGTTGTCGTCATCGCCTGGGCAGGAGCTCCAACTGTTAGAACTCGATCTTGTTCTTGTGCATGCAGGTAAGATATCATTCACATGGTCGGGGCCTGTGCCGCAAGTGGCCATCACGGATCCGGAGCTGGTGAGGGAGGTTCTATCCAATAAGTTCGGCCACTTCGGGAAGCCGAACCAGAACCCCCTCGCCCGGTTCTTCGCCAGAGGCCTCGCTGTGTACGAAGGCGAAAAGTGGGTCAAACATAGGAGGATTCTGAATCCTGCTTTCCATGCGGAGAAGCTAAAGGTGATTGATTCACTGTTCTGCACAACACCCAAACGGAACATCTTGGAAGTGCATCCATCCGTCCTGTTTCCAGTTTGATTCATACCAAAATGTTTATCCTCATCAATTTTGCAGCGAATGTTGCCGGCGTTCTCTGCTTGCTGTAGTGATCTGATGGATAGATGGGAGAATATGGCGGGCTCTGAGGCATGTTATGAGTTAGATGTTTGGCCTGAGCTCCAAAGCTTCACTGGAGATGTCATTTCACGAACTGCTTTCGGTAGCAGCCACAAAGAAGGAAGGCCAATTTTCCAACTTCAAGCTGAGCAGGCTGAGCTCCTTATTCAAGTTGTCCAAAATCTTTATGTCCCAGGGTACAGGTGAGTCCTTCTCCTACTCAATTCCATGTCGTTGAATGCAGCTTTAAAGGAAGAAACATCAGAATTTAGTTGTGTTGAAAGGATCATTGATTTGATGATCCGAGATAGTAGGTGGTCCATTGATGCCTTACTTGCACAATTCAAAGCTTCATCTCAAAGACTTCGAAGCTGCTACACATTTCTAATCACAATATTGTATTGAGCTCATAAATTATGCGAGTTTTCGAATGATTCGTAGGATACGGCTACTAATAATTGCTGTCAAACAGGTTTCTTCCCACCCCAAAGAACAAGAGAATAAGAGCAATTGATAGAGAGATCCGATCGATTCTGAGAGGCATAATAAAGAAGAGAGAACAGGATATAAAGACTGGAAAGGCAAGCAACGATGACCTGTTGGGGCTGTTGATGGAGTCCAACATGAAGCACTTACAAGAAGATGGGAACAAGAATGCCGGAATGACTACCGAAGATGTGATTGAAGAATGCAAGCTCTTCTACTTTGCAGGGCAGGAGACAACATCTGTGTTGCTGACATGGACAATGATCTGCTTGAGCATGCATCCTACCTGGCAGATCCGCGCTAGAGAAGAAGTTCTTCGAGTCTTTGGCGATGACAAACCCGATTTTGATGGCTTGAACCACTTAAAGATCGTTGAGTATCATCTTCCTACTTTGTTCTTCTGCTTAGCTGAACTAAACACACTCTGATTGCTAGTTGTTTCGACCCTATTCATCAGCATGCTGTTCTTGTACTTTCTTGGACTGAAAGATGAGGAAGATTTCACCAATTGATGGACTGAAATTTGTGTGGGCTGGTGACCATGATTCTGTATGAGGTGCTCAGGCTATACCCTCCATTTATTCTCCTCCGGAGGCAGACATACAAGCCGATGAAACTTGGAGATGTGGTTTACCCACCAGGAGTTCTCCTCCTGCTGCATGTAATCTTCGTCCACCATGATCCAAACCTGTGGGGCAAAGATGTCAGTGAGTTCAATCCAGAGAGGTTCGCCGAAGGGGTCTCAAAGGCGTCGAAGGAACAGGTTGCGTTCTTCCCGTTCGGCGGAGGCCCTCGAATTTGCATCGGCCAGAACTTTGCGTTGCTGGAAGCAAAGATGGGACTGAGCATGATTCTTCAGCATTTCTCCTTTGATCTCTCCCCGTCGTATGCTCACGCTCCACACGCTGTCTTCACTCTTCATCCCCAGCACGGTGCTCAAATAAGGTTGCGAAAACTCTCAAGTACTTGGTAGTTAGGAAATCGCAGGCAAAATATGTATGTGAAGTTGAACCCTGCTTCAGGACTATACATGAAGTCCTGAAGACTATATGTATATGCAAAATATGTAATAGTCGTATAGTCCTGTAAACTATATGAATATGCAAAAGCTTAGAGCACACTGTTTGATAACTAGATTGAGTATGTAAGTTTCAATAACTGTTTCATTGATTTCTTTGTTATGAATTGATGCTCTTATATTTGATAACTAGATTATGAGTAACTCAGGATTAATCACGAAGATATCAGGAGTATCAAAGGGTAAGATAGTAGCTTTGGTAATGATAGAGGGACATCCACACAAGAAGATTAAAGAGATATAGTAATGAATAGGCTAACAGAGTTAGTGAAGGGACAATCTTAACAATTGGAACAGTTATTGGTCTGAGGACAGGAAACGATCGTTGATCCATATCGCACTAATCTTCGCTCGCATGTGATAATTAATCTAAGGGAATACTAATATGAGATTGTTTTTAGCCCAATTAGTGTTGCCACCACTAAGAGTTCTTTCAAGTCCAGTATAGGCTCAAAACAACTCATAGACCAACTCACTATATCCTACACTTGCGTTGGCCTTATTGTTTAGCTCAATTACAACGCGTGGCGGGGCTACTACTTGTGGTGGCCGTATGGGTGGTCTACTTTGTTTGGTGGACGCCGAGGCGATTGGAGCGCGCGCTCCGGCCGCAGGGCCTCGATGGCACCCCCTACCGCTTCCCCCACGGCGACCGGGAGCAGAGCGCCCGGCTCGACAGGGAAGTGCACGCCAAGCCCATGCCCTTCTCTCACAGCATCATCCCTCGCGTTGCTCCTTTCACCCACCGTACCGTGAGCCAATATGGTACCCACTCCACTTCCTCTCTCTCTCTCTCTCTCTCTCTCACTCCATTGTTCTACCTTCCCTGTCGCTTCACTTCGCCTTCTGGACTTGGTTGTTGTGCAGGTAAAATATCTTTCACTTGGGCAGGCTCTGTACCCGAAGTGACCATCACGGATGTGGGATTGGTGAGGCAGCTTCCACTGAACATGTCCCATGACTCCGAAAAGCCCAAATTGAACCCTCTCGCGTAGTTCTTCTTCAAAGGAGATTTCACTTACGAGAGTGAAAAGTGGGTGAAGCATCGGAGGATTCTGAACCCTGCTTTCCATATGGAGAAGTTGAAGGTGCTTGATTCTTATCTTGCTTCACACGAGACTGTCGAGCTAACTTTTCGTCCTCGTCATTTGACAGCAAATGTTGCCGGCGTTCCGTACTTACTGCAATGATCTGATAAGCAAATGGGAGAATACGGTGGGTTCGGGGACAGGTTACGAGTTAGCTGTTTGGCTGGAGATGTCATCGCAAGAGCAGCTTTCGGAACCAGCTATGAAGAAGGAAGACGGATCTACCAGCTTCAAGCTCAGCAGGCTGTTCTCTTCGTTCAGCCCGCCCGATATCTACGTATCCCTGGCGACAAGTGAGTTCTCGTCCCGTTCATATTTCCGATGATTGATTGAAATTGTGTCATATACGCGGTAAGCAGTCGATTGTTGCTTGTTTTCCTGCTTTTCCATCTACATTGATCACGTTACAGTGACTTCAAACCTTTTAAATCATTACTATAAACCATTGCTTGCCATTACAGGTTTCTTCCCGTCACAAGGAACAAGAGAACAAAAGCACTGGAAACGGAGATCTGGGAAATGTTAGGAGGCAGAGAAGAAGTTCTTCGAATCTTGGTGGGGGGGGGGTGGTGGGGGTGGAAACACGCTAGCTTTCGATGGCTTGAGCCACTCGAGGACTGTGAGTGTCAATCTTCATTCTTCCTTCTTCTGCTAATCAGATGAACTGACAAGGGAAACAACAAATCTCACCCACCAATAACATTCCTCGATCGATGAGATGTGAATCACCCACCAGGAGCATTACTCCTACTGCGTAATAATAATCCTCATTCATCATGATCCAGAAATCTGGAGCGAAGATGCCAGTGCGTGCAATCCAGAGAGGTTTGCAGAAGGGATTGTTTTTAGCTCAAATAGTGTTGTTAGCGTTGAGAATTCTTCTAATCCAATATGAGCTCAAAACAACCCATAGACCAACACTTAGTGTTGGGCTAATAAATACTTAAGTTTTAGCCCAATTATAACTTAATTACACACCCCAATTAATTGGCCAAGGCTATGTTTGATCCTCGAATTGGCCAACCTATCTCAATGAAATAATTCATTTGATTTATTAATAAAATAAATTTAATTAATTTACAAATATTTTTAAAAAAGGAAAAGAATCAAATTGGCTTATTGAAGATTGTAAATCTCGATTTAAAATTCATCTCTACAAAAATAGAAGTTTATGAATCAAGAATATCATCAAAAGAGGATGATTACTTTCCAAAATTATCACCTTCCTTTTAAAAAAAGATTTTAATATGCTTAATTTGATATTATTATGATATTTTTATATTTTCTTATACTAGAGCTTATAAAAGAGTGGTTAGATTATTATAATAAAGGTTATCAGAAATGGATCGATGAATTGAGTCGTATTCTCGCATTGTGTGTGAGTGATGCAAGGACACGATTATTTTTTTCAATCGAATGATATCATCATCGATATGCAAGATGTACATTTATCTTGAGAGTACTCTTCTTGAGTCGGTGTGCATCGATAAATTTATTAATAAAATAAATTTAAAAGTTGTCAAACAGAAAAAGAGAAGTAAATATAGAAAAAAAAATAAAGAAATCAAGTTCGTTTATTGAAGATTGTAAATCTTAATTGAAGATTAATCTATATAAAAATAGAAGTTTATGAATCAAGAATATCATCAAGAGAGGAAGATTACTTTTCAAAATTATTACCTTCCTTAAAAGAAAAAAAATGATATACTTAATTTGATATGATTATAACATTATTATTTTATTTTTATATTTTTTATTCTTATACTAGAGCTTACAAAAAAGTAGTTAGAATATTATAATGAGGATTATCGAAATTAGATCAATTAATTGAGTTGTATTCTCACATTATGTGTGAGTGGTGTAAGACCATAGTTGTTTTTTAAGTTATTATCCTTTTTCTTTCTTTCTATTACTTTACTGTCAAAAACAAAATTCCATTATTGCTCATCTTATATAATACACTTAAGATTTCTTTTAAAATCATCAATTAATTTTATTATCAAAATATAAAATTTAATAAACTTTTTTTTAATGATGATGAAGGGATTTAAAAGTTTTCTATAACTATATATCATAATGTTAAATAATAATATTAAAAGATCATCATATACTTGATTATAATGAAAAGAATATTTCCACACATAAAATCACATATAACTCAAGTATGGTAAACTTGTTATGTTACCTATTTCAAGAGATATTAAAATTGGGACAATGATATAGAATTTACATGTATAATGTATAATTATGCTCCTAATGTAATATGGTAGTTTTACCTTATTTCTTTTAAGATTTAGACCATTTTTTGTTTATTTGAAAACTCATTTATGATAAAATAATAAAGCGTATGATGCGAGATTTGAGATGAATAATACATAGATATATAAGAAGATACAATTCCTCATGAATTAGTCTTAAATTAAATTTAGAATGATGTTTCATCCCACATTGATTGAGAAATAAGAGAACAAATGGTTTAGCATCAATCTCACTCTTAAGAGTTCTTTTTTTAGGTTCATCTTAAAAGGATAAAATCGTATGCGCTCGACAAAATATTAACTTATAGGATCTATAGTGATTTAATGATAAAAGGTGACATTCATTTTCTCTCTTAAGATACATTGTATTTGGGGTTCATATTTATGAAAGAAGTGATGAAACTGAAAACCACTATTATTTTCCTATTTTGACTTGAAAATATAATATATAGTGCACATATTATTAATTATTTTTAAATTTTTCATACACGATTAATATTTGTTCCAATATAGCATAACAGGAAATAACATATTTTATCTTTTATCAATGAAATAAAAAAATTGATATGAAAATAAATCTCCAATGATATTATCCTCCCCTGCCCTCTATATAAACGAAGGGAAACTCCTCTCATGTCCATCCTTAACTTTTGGCTTGGGAGGACCAAGAGGAAGAGCAGGTGAAAATCATCGCCCTTATAAACATTATATGTTTCCTTTATATTATAATTATTGAAGTTATTTGTTGATATTTTATTTAATATTTCTTAAGATTTTTTATAATTATTGATCTCAAATTTTAAAAAGAATGATGTCGTATAATAATCATTCGAATATTTAAAATATATTTGAAAATCATAAGCATATTATTTCAAATATTTTCAATCATTTATACTAAAAGAATTCATGTGCAATATCCATCTTTATCTTCCAAAAGGATATATTAGTGTTGGAAGTTTGGCTCAGCTCAATAGAGGTCTTTATAGCATATTACATGGGCACATACAATTGTTGTAGTAAAAACTGTCCATTTTTTAAGGTGTTGTATATGTACTCTTTGAATTACTGGAACAACTTATATATCTATTTTTATTGATCATTAATTGTTAATACGATTTTTTCGGAGACATCCGATAAAATTAATATGATACAGAGAAAATTAACATGATACCTATCCATCTCAAAATGACTTTTAAAACTCCAAAATAATAACATCATCAAAAATTGGTTCTCTCTTTAAAAGGATCAATATATTACTTTAATCGCTTACAATCTGAACTCCTCTTCCGTTTATAAGCGATTGTGCATGGCCATGGGCGTGGCGGACGTAGCAGCCGATTTGGTGTGGTACTTGGCGTGGGGCGTGGCGGGGCTGCTACTTGTGGTGGCCGTATGGCTGTTCTACTTTGTGTGGTGGAAGCCAAGGCGATTGGAGCGTGCGCTCCGGGCGCAGGGCCTCGATGGCACCCCCTACCGCTTCCTCCAAGGCGACCTGGAGGAGAGCGCCCGGCTCGACAGGCAGGTGCAGGCCAAGCCCATGTCCTTATCTCACAACATCATCCCTCGCGTTTATCCTTTCGCCCTTCGTGCCATGAGCCGATATGGTACCCACTGTCTCTCTCTCTCTCTCTCTCTCTCTCTGTTCTACCTTCTCTATCGCTTCACTTCGTCTTCCGGTCTTGGTTGTTGTTGGTGGTGCAGGTAAAACATCTTTCACTTGGGTAGGCCCTGTACCCGAAGTGACCATTGCGGATGTGGGATTGGTGAGGCAGCTTCTATTGAACATGCCCAATGACATCGAAAAGCCCCAGTTGAACCCTCTCGGGCAGTTCTTCTTCAGAGGAATGTTCATTTACGAGGGTGAAAAGTGGGCGAAGCATAAGAGGATTATGAACCCTACTTTCCATATGGAGAAGTTGAAGGTGCTTGATTCACCCATGTCGATTCTATCTTGCTTCACACCAGACTGTCGAGCTAACTTTTTGCCCTCGTCGTGTGACAGCAAATGTTGCCATCGTTCCGTACTTGCTGCAATGATCTGATGAGCAAATGGGAGAATACGGTGGTGGGTTCGGGGACAAGTTATGAGTTAGATGTTTGGCCTGAACTCCAAGCCTACGCTTTAAATGTCATTTCGACAGCAGCTTTAGGAACTAGCTTTGAAGAAGGAAGACGGGTCCACCAGATTCAAGTCCAGCAGCTTATGCACTTCGTTCAGGCCGGCCAAGCTATAAATATCCCTGGTTCCGTGTGAGTGATCTTAATGTTCCCATTTCCGATGATCGATTGCGATTGTGTTATACTGGTCGGTCTATGAGTAAGCAGCAGTCGATCGTTGCTCGTTTTCTTCTTGCTTTTCCATCTACCTACACTGATGTGTATCTCATAAACACCCTCTCAACCATTACTAGAAACACTGCTAACCGATGCTTAACCATCACTGCAGGTTTCTTCCCACCGAAGCGAAGAAGAGAATAAAAGCACTGAACAGAGAGGTCGGAGAATTGGTAAGAAGCATAATAAAGAAGAGACAAGAGGAAATAAAGAGTGGCAAAGCCAGCAACGATAACCTGCTGGGCTTGCTGCTGGAGTCCAATATGAAGGGCTCCCAAGAAGACGGGTTGACCATCGAAGACGTGATCGAAGAATGCAAGCTCTTCTACTTTGCAGGGCAGGAGACGACAGCCGTCTTGCTAACATGGACGATGATTCTCTTGAGCATGCATCCTGAGTGGCAGGTCCGAGCCAGAGAAGAAGTTCTTCGAGTCTTCGGGCAGAACAAACCGGATTTCGATGGCCTGAACCGCTTAAAGATCGTAAGTATCATCATCATTCTCCCTTCTTCTGCCAAGATCAACTGATAGACAGTCATGTTCTCCTCGATCAGGTGACAATGATTCTGCACGAGGTTCTCAGGTTATACCCACCATTGACTTACCTCCCAAGGCACACATACAAGACGATAAAACTTGGGGACGTGACCTACCCACCGGGAGTACTGCTTCGAATGCCAATACTCTTCTTGAATCACGATCCGGAAATCTGGGGCGAAGATGCCAGTGAGTTCAATCCAGAAAGGTTTGCACAAGGGGTGTCCAACGCATGCAAGAACCACCAGATGGGCTTCTTTTCCTTCGGCGGCGGCCCTCGGATTTGCATCGGCCAGCACTTTGGGTTGATTGAAGCTAAGATGTTATTCTCTACCATTCTCCAGCGCTTCTCGTTTGAGCTCTCACCCTCCTATGCCCATGCTCCACACATTGTTATGACTCTTGTCCCTCAGTATGGTGCTCCTTTAATGTTCCGTAGACTTTGAATTACTCTTCTTCGAGTCATTTGGATTTATCCAAGTCTAAATGTTTAGATCTGTATGGCACAATTCGACAAGTCATTTAAGATCCTATATTTTTCACTTCTTTCTTTATTTTATTTGATCTTGAACTAATAATACTTATTACTATTATTCAAAGAAAGACTTATGAGCTTTTCCATTCTTCACAAATATATATATATATATATATATATATATATATATATAATGCAAGACCTCTGATAGATACACCCTTCTTTTTCTTTTTCTTCTTTTCCTTTCGATGCGCTCGACTCTCCGAATCTTAAAGGTACAAATTGACCAGACTAAGTACAAAATGGAGTGAACTTATCAACCTCAAAGCCAGTGTTCTTTGAGTGTCCGGATCGCCACGTACACCATCCACTTCGAATGTCTGTCGCTGAACGACACGTGTCCGGCAGCGAGTACGGGAGTCAGGCGTACTTCGCTGAACCTTGCAAACCGGACACGCGTCGGTGTTCGGCCGGGCATCGTGTCGCGTTGTTTAAGGTAAAGGCACACCCCGGATCGCGAGCGCAGGCGGCGGAGGCTTCGCATTCCGTGAAGGGCTCGCACGTGACGATCAACCCGCTGATGAGACGGACCGCAGTAATCCACGCGTCGCCAAAGTACAGGCGTGCCGAAATGAGGTGCACGCTGCATCAGGGCCGTCCATATGGTGTTCCCGGGGTCGTATCCCCGTCGTTTAATGTATCGAGGGAGCCGGACGGAGGGCCGATTCCTCCCTCTTTCCTCGCCTCTTCTTCCCACTCTTGACTTCCCTCTCCTCTCTGTCTCTCTCCCCGATTCCTGCTTCCTCGGGCTCTAGAGAGAGCAAGAGCCGGAGCTGGGGTTTCGAGTACGTGTTCTTGATCCTTTGCTCTTATGACGTTTGTTTCTTGCGTCCTTCCACGGCCCCGATCGGTCTAATTGATCTTTGCTGCTGTGCTTTGATCTGATTTTGGGATGGATTATATGGTTTCTTTGTTGTTCTGGCCTGCGATTTCTCGTGTTCCTTACTTTCTCTTGGGAAATTGACTTATGCTTATTATAATTTCCGTGTGGGTACTGTGTTATTGAGTACTTGTCAGGTTTCTCTGGAAGGGCGCTTACGCTCTTGATCTCTTGAATCGTGTTCGAAAGAGAGGAACAACGGTTTCTGGATGCTAAATCTTGGTTGGCAGGGCTTCTCCGCTAGTTCTGCTTCCCCTTCCTTTTTGGACTCTTTTGGCCACACGGTGCTGTATTCTGGCTCTGCTTGTTGATGTTTTTGCTCTGTTGTTAGGGTTCATTCCCAATTTTTGGGTTTTTATCTTTAAATTCATGCTGTACAGGTAAGTTCTATCCAAGATGATCTATGGTTCTACAAATTTTACTCTTCGAGTCATGATGATTGTGTCGACCGATTTGTTTTGCAGATTTTTTGTTTTGATGTGTTTCAGAGAGATGCTAAGTTTTAGGTGTGCGTGAACTCATGCTTAGCTTTTCATCATGCTCTCAGTTTACCTTTTTTCACTTGGATGTAAAATTTTGATGGCATGTTGGCATTGGTTTCCTTTTTGGTCTTTTCATTGTGGATTTTCTCTTTGTCCTATGGGGTTCAAGTTGGCAATATTGCCTTCTTGGTTTTATTACGAATTTCCTAAATTGATCTGGTCTTCGTCTAGCTTACCTTTTCTGTGAGGAATCTTTCTTGAACTTACTGGCTTTGGGTAAAGTTTTTCTCAAAATTATGATGTTCATATTTTTAGACAATAGTTTTAGACTTTTATATTCTATTACTAGGACTCAGTTAGTCAATTTTACTTACTGGAATTTATATTTTACAATCTTTTACTGAAATTAGTAACTAAGGAATCTTTCTGAATTTTTTGGTTAACCATTGTAGGTTGACACAGAACCAAGTAATGTAGGTCGTCTGGCTTATGAGAACTCTCATAGGTTAATTTTGTGCTTTTCTTTAATGGGGGATCTAGTTTTAGAAAGCAAAACCACTGATTGTTTACAGTGTAAAAAGATCAAGGGGTTTGCTGTGGTTCTTTTTTAATGATAGACAAAATGTACTTTGTTTTGTCAGACATACATATGTTTGTTTTAACCTTCTGCAGATTCCATTGATGAAAAGTAGCCTCTGATACTTGGTAACACTTGGACCAGTTAAGGCCCAGTGCCGAGGAAGTGTTCTTGAGCATAGAGAGGAGAGCAGCCTGATACGAGTGGCGGATAGCATCTGCCTAAAGTATCCTTTTTTTTTTCCGCTGTATGTGCAACTGAAGCATCTAAAGCTCATATCTTCACTTTATTTTTTAATTTTCGTTCACTTATTTATGCAATCATATAAAAATGTTAGGTTAAGAAAATTTGTCTGGCAGTAACCTCATTTGGTTTTGTTAGCAAAAGAGTTTTATAACTAAACAAACTTTCTAGGCCTATATTTAGTATGTCATAATGTCATTTGACAAGTAATCGCTATCTATAATACACAAATACAGAGAACTGAGCTTGGGTTTTCTGCCTTTTCTTTTGGCAGACTGCTTTTGACAATAGATGATCAGGAGGAAGTAATAAATACGAAGGAAGATGAACAGGTTAGTTTCCCTAGATAAATTTGAACAAAAGTAAGGAATAAGATGCTAAATTGATTGAGTAGAGATTGGGTATACCACTGTGTTTGGGAGAAAAAAGAAAGATAAAGAAAATGATATAAATAATATAAACAATAAAATGTTTTATGAGAAGAGGCATATTAAATAACTTCTGATGGGGATTTCTAGGGAGAAAGATTGGTCAGTAGATGTCAATGACTAAAGGAAATTTACAAGAATAAAGAGTTCTTTGCCCACCGATGTCTTTAATTTACCTAAATATGTAACCTATTTATTTATATATTGATCTTTTTTTATTCTCCCTTACCTTTTGGTGTGCTATACTGACTTTTTTTATGTTGATTCTGATCCTCTCTTTTCCTGTCAGCTCTTGGACTTTGTGATCTTGGTTAAAAATTGTAATATCACTGGGTTGGATTTTTATGGCAGTTATTATAATGATAATTTGCACCCTTTCAGGCATCGCAAGGGCATTACGATCTGTTTTGAGTTGATTCTAGATTTCTTGTTGAATGAACACATCTTTTGCTGATCAAATAGCTTGCTAAATGCTTCTAGAAGTAGTAAATATAAAGATATTATAGGGATATGTAGAGATAAAATTCAGAATCTCTTGTAGAAAGAATGAGAGTCTAAGGTTCTAAATTTGATAGAAGTGTGCATGGTGATGTTAAAGGAGCTAATGATATTAAGTTGGACTGTTGCTTGGCAAGTGTCACACACATCTTTTGGTTGTTCAAGATGAAAGTCAATTCGGATTCAATATGGTTCTTTCTCCGAGCTGGTCTCAAGTCAAACTTTGCTATTTCGATCAGAACCCTACAAAAACTTCATCCGAGCACTCTTGACAATGTTCTAAGCTAATCAGAGAGGTCGAACAGTTTCGAGTTCAAAATTATGTGTTGGGTCATACTTGTTGAACCCCTTCTATAGTGGGTTTCCGAAATTGCTACTTTTGGATGCTACGTAGCTTGTGGAAACGTGGTGCGTTAATCTCGGGCATAACTATCATCACTCCACTCGAGTCTGAGATGCGGCATATTTTTACCATGTGGCATCGATCGGGCGGTGCGATATAATTGGTTGGTTGATGTCGAAGTGTCAGCCACCCTGGTCGCTTGGCATCGAGTGTATCGGCCACCTAGTGCCGAGGTGTCAATTGTCTGGTGCTGAGGGATGATGACCACCTTATATCGCTCCTCTCAGTTGGTAATTGGGTTGAAGTTAATAATAAAAGTTTAAAAGTTTTGACTGCACAGAAACTTATGAATATCTAAGTAGGATTAATATCTGCCTTCCTGAATACTGATATAAGTTGATGATAATTTCATATATCTGGATGTAGACGTTATTGCACATGTTGTTTGGCTATTTTTTTGCTCTAAATTTGATTAATTGGGTGCATATTGACTTGTTTTTGCAGTTTATGTATATCAAGTTGAACTTTAGTAGATACTGTAGCTCAAATGCCAGGACCGAGAATGAAGAGAAAATCAGACAAGGGATGTGTAAGATTGCACAATGTCCATGCTCGTCACAGGTCATCTAAGAAATCAGAAAACTCACCATCGGAAATCAACACAGAGGTGGACGCTTCTATTCAAATTCATCATGATGGTGAGCTATTATTACATGGTTGATCTCATCCAAGTCTTTTCTTCTTGTGTCTCTTCACACCAAACACCAAATCTGAGTGCCACCTTGAGTAAAATTGAGGTTAATTCATGCATTTCACAGTCATTTATTCACGAGATGGAACCAGATTACCGTAGGTTACAATTTTTTTAAACATTTGACTTTTGAGGAATCATCCAAAAGCCAACAGATTCGATTGAGTTATTCTAGTATTCCGTGGCACCTAACTCTACAAAATGAAAGCTGTAGGGCCATGCCACCTCCTAATGCACTTAGCCGTACGATTCTCACTATTGATAACTTCATTTTCATCACTGAATTTGTCCTTGTGAAGAACAAAAGCTTGTATGATAACATATTCTCGTATTTGAATGCGTGAAGATTATTTTGTCTATTAGCACACAAATGTTAGAAGATGTATGCTTGTTTTCTACTCTTTACTATTCTAAAAGCTTGTCGTCTCATCGATCTTTATTTGGTAGCTAACTTTTGCCTCTTGGGTCTTCTTTCGGTAGCTAAGCTTGTCTTAGATTGAATATAATGCTACAGGAAACTTTTCAAACACAATTAGTTCTCGAATGGAACAATCAGGGTGCGACTCTACGATAACAGGTTTTGATGGAGCCTCTGCTGAATTGCTGAACTTGTCTTCATCTCCACCGGATCCTTTATCTACTGAAAGAATGGTACCTGCTCTCTTTTCCGAACCTCTAGGATATAGTTCAATTCTTATATAGTCATTTGTTGTTTTTATTTGATTTTGTTTCTTATCAGAACTTATCTAACAATCGTCCAATTTATCAGAATGTCCATCGTTTTCGAAATTTCTGGTAATAAGCCTTTTTCTGTTATTGGGTGTGTATCTCCCGCTTGATGACTTGTGTTAGGTACTACACTCCCTAACCAATGCTTCTGTAGTTTGAGAAAGAAGCCTCCCACAAGAGCAAAGGCAGAAAGAGAATAAAAAATTAGAGATTAATTATTGGATTTTCTGAAGAGAACAACAACGAGATTCATGTGCCCACCAATGCAAATAAAAAATGGATGATAAATAGCCTTGATTAAGTCTGTTCTGTCTAAAAGGAAGGCTGGGAGGCCTTCTCCATGTGGAACAGGATCGCCGACTCTGTCCGCCTGGGGCAAAGAGTCGCTGGACTCCGGAGGTCATAGGAGTCCAGCGATTCCTCCACCGAAGTGGACAGGTTGTCCTTCCACCACTTGGATTAGCTAGCCCTATCTGGGTCAGTCGTGGACTGATCCAGCCCACTGTCAGTGGCCCACGAGAGTCTGTAGATGCTGCTGTTGGCCCACTTCTGCTGCAGCTACTGCCGCTGCTGTTACGGTGATATTGCTGATGCTGATGTGTTTGCTGCCGCCACGGCTATGCTGCTGATGCTAGGTCAGCCCTCTAGAGAGAGAGAGAGATTTTGTAGCACTAAGATGAAAAACTCGGTACAAAAAGATAGACCGAGACCAGAAGAAAGAGAAGATACAATATAACATTATTAGCTATATTGTCCAATAAATTAGCACCTTTTGAAGTCTCTTCCTCTTGGCCACTCCTTTGAACTGTGTAGCCTTATAGAAGACCCTATTATGGATTTCATATTTTTCTACTGACACCCTTTAGAAAAATATCATAAATAATGCTAACTGTATAGGAAATCCTTTTATTGTTAGATTCTTCTGTGTGTGCCCCCAGAAAAGTATTTCTGGGACTCCTAGAATACTAGAGGATTATCGTCTTTTAAAAAAAAAATATCTAACTTCCCATATCAATAGGGACACAATCGTAAATGATATATGGATGTTCTTGTGTAAATGAATTTTCTTGACAGAGTAATATAGTAAACAGATTCTTTTGGAATTCTTTATAGTTGTCTTGATAAACTATGTTTTCCTTTTTCTTGTTTTATATAATTTAAAATAAATTTATTTAATTTAAATAATTTTTTTTTTGAAAAAAAAAAAGCTCATGAGCAATCAGAGCATAGTAAACAACTCGTGCAGAACCATAAAGATGACCGAATGATCCTCCCATGATGGCCTTTCACTTTAGTTAGGAGCATGGAAGGACTGTTTGTATTTAGTTTGACTTGATCAGTAACGGACTTTTTCAACTCCCACTGAATAATCTTCTACGGTATATTCTCAGACCAACCCCTTCATGCATTTTGATCCAAATTCATAGTTTTATGTAGATATTGTCAGTTTCATGTGGATATGAGTTAATTCAAAATATTTGTGGGGATTGTAACATAGTTATCGGTGCAACTACTTGGGCATTGGGAAATGCTAGTTATATTGTGATGACTGTTTTTGGGTTTTAATCATGTCAGTATTTGACTTAAAAGAAGTCCTGGTTGTTACGAACTCATTTAGGTGCTCATTTCCACTTTTTTTTTTTATTGCGGTTAGTTTACTGTTATGTTATGTCTTGTGATGAATATTTACTTGCAGCTGCAGGGTTCAAGCTCAACCGCAATAGCACCAGAGTTAGAAACAATTTTCTCACCTAATTTCGAGGATGGTGATTCCCACTTGAATTCAACTAATCATGGTTATGAAGGTACTAAGCTCCCTTTTTTTCATTGGTTAGCACATGATACATTGATAAAAACCTGGACATGATGCCTGAACAATTGCTCAATAATCTTAGAATATGATAGTCCTTTTTTGAGTTAATGGAATAGGACATTGGCTTTTTTAAGTTAATTGAATAGTTATCATACTTTTTCCTGATTTACAGTTCAGAATGAAAATCCTGGATTGCCTAATCTCGTTGCGGATGAAGGAGATGATGGAAACTCTGGGTTCAGTGATTATCAAGCTTGCAGTTTATTCGACTTCTGCTTTTCAGAGAGTGCTCCTTCTTTACCTTTTGATGATAGCATGGATTTTACCGATGTTTCTTGCCATCATTACGAGTTTACTACTTCTGACATACTGACTGATGTGGCGGAGAGGTATATGATGCTGCCATTCCTTGGGAGGAACACAGAAACTGGCGGTGCTCATGATAATGAATCAATTCAAGAAATCATGATGAACTCCAATGATGCATACTTGGCAACTCATCAAGAATCTGACATGAATTATCTATCTGGTGATTTGGGAGAAATAGAATGCCTGAATCCACAGCTAGTTTTTCGAACTTCACCTGATTTATCTCGGGAAGTTTCATCGAGTTGTCCTACTCTATTGCAAAAGGAAACACAACAAGGGAAGCCCATAACTCTTGTCCTTGATTTAGATGGTAAGCTTGTCCATATCTGTTGCATTTTGAAGAGATTTTTAAGTGTGATATTTCACACCTGCCTCTTGAGCTCATTGTCATTAGAAATTCCAATTGTTTACCAGATCATATTACGTGATCTATTATAGTTCTGTCGTTAACTTAATGTGTTGTAAACTAATTGTTTCTCTTGTCTGCAGAAACTCTTGTTCATTCTACACTTGAGTACTGTGATGATGCTGATTTCACCTTTCCGGTTTTCTTTAACATGAAAGAGCATACCGTATATGTAAGACGGAGGCCTTTTCTACAAATGTTCCTCGAGAGAGTGGCTCAAATGTTTGAAATTGTTATTTTCACAGCTAGTCTAAGCATATATGCTTCTCAGCTACTTGACATTTTGGATCCAGACAACAAAATAATTTCTGGGCGCATTTATCGTGAATCATGCATATTCTCTGATGATACCTATACAAAGGACCTAAGTATTTTGGGGGTTGACCTGGCAAAAGTTGTCATAATCGACAATTCCCCACAGGTAGTAATCCTTCATTAGTCTCTCTGTATATCGGTAAGGGGCAACACAGCACATGCTCAGTAGAAATTTTCAGTAGCACCAATTTTTGACTTATATAGATAGTCTGATTTCCAATGCAGGCTGGTGCTTCATTTCTCAAATTTTAGTTGTCGGAAATTAGATTCATTAATTTGATGAAAGTTATTATTCAGGGAGTCGAATAGTTTTTCCTTCTCCTTTTGGATCATATCAAATCTATATCTTGCTCGCATCTGCACATGATTCATTTTGTTTTTTGTTTTTTTGTTTTACCTTCTCCATGTCAGGTTTTCCGGTTGCAAGTTAATAATGGCATTCCAATCAAGAGTTGGTTTGATGATCCATCGGACCATGCTTTAGTTCAATTACTTCCTTTCCTCGAGACCCTGGTCGATGCTGAGGATGTTCGTCCGATTATTGCAAACAGGTTCAGCAACAAAGAGCAGCAACAGTTTGTTTGAGATATCATTGTCTTGGCAATATTTATTGTTCTTCCTGAGGTAACCATTCTCATCGACCGCAATTTATCCACGGTTTCTTAGATTTGCTTCCATTATCATGCCAACTTAGCTGTATGACGTGTGAAGATTACTGATGATTGTACCAAATTTTCTCCAAGTGTATGTATATTCTTCCCATCCTATTTTCTCACACAGGTGTTTACATTAGAATTTTGTCATGAAAATAAAATATTTTGTTCTACTGTTTTCTTATGTACTCATTTACCTCCTAAGTTATCCAAACAGTTTACTAGATTTACCTTTTTTTTATTGTCATGGGAAGATTGCTGACGATGGTACTCAAGTTTGATGCCAACTGCCTTCCAATATAATCTTCTTATGAAAATAAATAAATAAAAATTTATTTTGTTCTGTTCGGAGATTGGATCCGGTAATCTTGTGGTATGTGCAAGTAGTGATATAAATTGAAAAAGGATAATTTGAACGGTTAGTTATTAATATGGTTCGAGAGTAAACTCGCTCTCGAGCCATGTGTTTTGATTATGGATCCTTAATTTTTCTACGGGAGAAAATACTGATAAGATTATTTAATTTTATATTGATTAAAAAAAATTATTTAATTTTACATTGATTGAGGAGTACGAAATGAAAGAATTTATAAATCAAGGTCTCTCTTACCCCAGAAGCTTCTTTGTCGAGCTCACTAAGTCGAAGTTAAACATCCACAGCAGCTGCCGACTTTTCACTCGGTGTTCAATCCAACGAGCCAATGAGCTCACACCGTCCGGCGTCATGGTTGCCCGTCTCATCCCAACCGAAGCGCTAGTGGCCAAGGAATTATTGGTGGCCAACGTGAACGTAGGCCCCGCAATGATTTGGCCGCCTATGTGAAGTCTTCGACAAGGAGATACGTGATGTGTCGGCTCCAACTCACCAACTGAACTCGTCACAACCACGTTCCACCTACGGGAGGGACTCTGTAAAATCCAGGCCGCCACCACAGGCATAAGCCACAGGCTTCGGTACCCGAGTCTTTCCTCCCCACCCAGTGCTACTACATGTGCATAAAATTATGTACTTGATAGCGTCAGTGGGGGCACCCACCACTGTTTGTGGCGATCGACTGGGTAACTCTCTCACTCTCTGGAGTCCTGATGATTGGATCGACTCTTCACATGCGATAACCGAGTCATCTTAAATATGTGGTGTCATGTGGCCGTGGGACCCCCGCACGAGTTTTCTTAAACGGAATAATGGAAGGGGCCCCACAGGACACGATCACGAGGCGTTTGATTGATCGAAAGCCATCTCCCCCCTTGCACTTCCTTTGCTAGCTCATGTACACCCGAAGAAGACGGACAGTTCCGTGGGACGTTGCTGTGGTGCGGCAGCTCCATTATTCTCATGCTCCCAAACTTGTCACCTCCCACCCATCTTATTGTCGGATGTACAAACATAGAGGGAGAAGCGCACATCTTTGCATGCAGCGGGGGACAGTGTTTGCATCTCATTGGAGCAATTTTTTCCCGTCCTAAATAAGGCGTCGATAGCTCTTTCATATGAACCAATACTTGATGGTCTCCATTCATATGTTTTGCCCATTGGTTTGAGGTTCAACTTGTTTCAGGAATAGCCCACGATCAGGGACGTCAACGGCCATGGAGGAGCCACTCCTCTCCTCTCCCACCACCACCTCCTCCTCCTCCTTAGCTACCACCCCGCCCGTCCTCATCCGAGTAACAACGATCCTCACGCTCGTCGCCATCTCCCTCTGGGCAAACTACGAAGCCTCCAGGAGCGTCGACATCTCCGTCGTCAATTCCGTTTATGGTTCTCGCGCAGACCGCCTGTTCGACCTCAAGTTCGCCTCCAACGGCAGAGCCCACCGTATCATACACCACGCGAGCCAATTCGTCGAGCAGGTTCTTTACCCCGATGAAGGGTATCCCCGCAAGCCGATCAACCACATAACGCTGCGTCTCGCCAGCGACGACGACCTCCCCTTCCTCACGTCGGTCAGCCCGGGCTTTGACGCCGGGGATTACACCATCCGTCTCAGCCCAATTCTCATGTCGGCAGCCGACGCCGACGCCGCTGTGGCCGCAGCGGTGCACCGGGCGGTCGCCAAGCTCTGGCTGTGGGACGGCCAGCGCACGGCTCCGGAGTCACTCCTGGAAGCCGCAGCTGAGTACCTCGCCATGGCAGCAGGCTTCGGTTCGAGGCCTAACATCGCCGACGCTGTCGCCCTCGAATCTAACGGAACACGCTGGTCTGCTGAGTTCCTACAGTACTGCGAAGCCAAGCGCAACGGGTTCGTCGCGGGGTTGAACCGAGGAATGCAAGAAAGGTGGACTGAGCTCACGGCGGACGAGGCGTTTGGCTCGCCGGTCCGGCAGGTATACGCCGCCTATAGGTCGGCGCCACCAGGTCGCATCATGGAATCCTCTGATTCCACGACGGATTCGGTGGAGGCGAGGCTGTCCATGTGAGCTGTACAGGTTGCCGCCATGGCAAGCGGACCAAGTCATGCAGCTGTGAAACTGAAGGGGTTCGACTACTTGTCCGTATCCCGCGAAGGTGTTGACCGGACCGACGCCTACCGGTACCAAAGTGTACTGTCGGTGGCATAATTCTGCCCTTTAGATTCCTCTTCCTTGTTTGCTTCTGTACCTCTGCGTAAAATAATGGAATGGAGAAGAAGCTTGTTTGTTTTCTGGGCATGGAAAGAACGACTACTCATCCGTCTTCCAGATGGGGAGAGAGGTGTGAGGGTGATGACGATGAGACGTTCGAGGCCATTAAGTCTCTGACATTGCATGCGTTTCTTCTTTCCGTTCAGCCTCAAGAACAAGTGCAGGGAAAGATTTATTTCTGGTGCAATGGGATAATTGATTTATTAACTTGATGAGTTTAATTGCCGATCCAAACTGTTGAATTCCAAGTCGAAATTTTAGCTCGACGTCGAGCATCTGATCTGAGTCTTTAAACCACCACCAAGAACAAAGATGTGATCTTCCACCCAAAGGTTTGCTGCTACGAAAGACCAAAAAGACAAAGAAGCAGAGCATCCAAACACCACCTTTCCTACGTATGATTTAGTCCATATGGAACAGCTAAAGTGCAACACAAAGTAGAGGTTCCCACCACCTCCTCCTCCTCCTCCTCCTCCTCCACCACCACCACCACCACCTGAGTTGTGTCATCATCATCATGACTATCGATAGCCAAACCCCACGGAAGGATTCTTCACTTCCAACCCATCCTCTTCCCACTGCTGCTGCCGCTTCTTTCCTCTACAACCTTTTCCTTTCTACCGCTTCCTCTTGCGTGCTCATCCAATGCTCCCATCCTCCCCTCTCAAGTTTCCTCTTATTCTCCTTCGCATCACGAAGGAACCTCCGATTCTGTCCCCTTATATATATATATCTCCTAAGACGAGAGAAGTAGAGCCCTTTTCACAGCTCAAGCAGACTTCTTGCCATCCGCAATCCATACCGAAACAGAGAAATAAGAGCAGAGGAGGTGAGGACAGATAGAGTGGAGGCATTGGAAGTATGGGTGCCAATGCCATCAAGTGTCTCATCTTCCTTCTGGGACTTCTCTTCTGTTCTGGTTTGTGCAAACAAAGTCTCTGCATTCCCCACTTACCTATAATTGCAGGTTGAGATTAAACTAAATTTCGAGTTCTGTGGCATGGCGCAGGAGAACTTGTTAAAGACTCTGAGGACGATCTATCATTTCATCCATCTCTCATGCAGACGGATGTATCCTCGATGCCTGAAATGGATGTTGTCACTCCAGTAACAACAGTTCCGGTGATTAACCCTTCCACCACCCCAACCACCACTACTCCGGTCTATGATCCATTCACCGCGCCACCTACTCCGATCATGACGCCTACCACCAATCCATACTCCACTCCGTCGATGGTGACCCCGTCCACGCCGTCATCAGGCCAAAGCTGGTGCGTGGCCAGCCAAACTGCGTCGCAGACTGCGTTGCAGGTAGCTTTGGACTATGCCTGTGGATATGGAGGTGCAGACTGTTCGGCGATTCAGCAAGGTGGAAGCTGCTTCGATCCCGATACTGTTCGTGACCATGCATCGTATGCATTCAATGACTACTACCAGAAGAATCCAATTCCTACCAGCTGCGATTTTGGAGGAACGGCTGTTATCGTCAATGCGGATCCAAGTGAGTAATGATTTCAGAGCGTACAACAATCAAATCCTTGACAGCAAAACATCCGATCTAATTTCTTGGCAATCTAATCTACTCTCTGTTCGTGTCCTCACAGGTACTTCGACATGCCATTATTCCTCGACGAGGTAAATGACCTGCCTAAACCCATATCTTCTTTGCAGAAACCATGAGAAGAATTAACTCGTCACACCTGCAGTGGCAGCACAACCTCACCTTCTTCCTTCAACACGACTAATCCCACTGGATCAGCTGGATCAAATGTTTACGGAGATGTTCCGACGTCTACTACAAGCGCTTCTGCCTTGATGTTAGATGGCATGACACTTGTGATCACCCTAACATCTCTGCTGATGTCTGTGATCTTCTATAGTCTCTGCAAATAGACATTAAAGGTGTTCTACGTGCAACGAGCCAAAGACGATATGGTTGGTGGCTATCTTTCGCTACAGAAACTATGGATTCCCCACAGAAAGGAGGCAGCACAAGAAGTCCAAATCCTAAAGCAAAATAACCTTTCTTGAGAACTCATTCTACAGAGTAAGCGAATCTGGCGAGGAAGAAGTTGGTAGCAGAGCCATCAGCCTGCAGGTTATGCTGCTTCAAAGCCTCCATTAGCAGGAAATGTTGTCGAACAATTTGCTTCATTCGATAGTAATAATTGTTACTTTGTTTTAGCTTCGAATAGATAGATAATAGTCTGAAGCTACAAAAACCAAATCCATTTACGGTTCGATGATGTTTTCCCAAAGACAACTCTAAAGCAACAAAAGGTGTTAAAACTAAAGATAGCCCATAGAACATGATGTTCTTCTATACCTTTCTTGCGATCTTTGCCAAGAATAATTTGCTAGCAAGAAATGAATCTAAATCATGTGGAGTTGCAGTAGATGTAAAAAGCTAAAGATGACTTGCAGCACGCGAGAAAGATTGCACTGATTATAATGGATCGGTGTGTATTAGGGTGAGAAGAACACCAATTATTTTTCTTGGCGACTTCAGGAAAGTTTCAGTATCTACTTCTCGTGACTTTGGATGAGGACGCCTATCGTTCTCCATTAAAGCCCACGGGCGCACTCCTGACTCTTCCATCGAACCATCTCCTGACTCTTCCCTTATTAAAAAAAAAGCAGCATGTTAAAACAGAATAATTTTTTTCCCGATATTAAAATGAGTTTCTCATCAAAATATCAATTTGATATTAAAATATAAATATCAACCAGAGTAATAAATTAATCACACAGTAAAATCAAATATTTAACATGAAAAATCTAATGTGAGAAAAATCACGGGACCGTAGTCCACCTCAAAATTTCACTATCAATAATAATGATTTACAATAAGTCTTCTCTAAAATAACAAGAAGATAATTATCTTGGCTGAATAACATATCTTCATCATAGATGGATCTCAGATAATTTTAGGTCTCACAAAATGGATATAATAGGAAAGTACCTCAGAAATGGTAAACTGTATATCAACACCATTAGAATTGTAGAGCTTGCTACAAGAATTCTTCGTACAAAATTTAGGTCAAAACTAATAACGTTTGACTACTAATCGTCAAGCAGAAAACTCAATATCCTAATTTTTCTTATTTTCTTTTCTCTCTCTCTCTCTGCCTTTTCTCTCACCATACGCCACCACTGGCTGTGCACGCTCGCTGCACTCTTTTCATTTACTGTTATTTTTTTTTATCTTTTAATTAATGATTTAGGCTCGAAAGGCCCAATTATCCAAGACCACATATGGGCTAGACCTAACAATTCTCTCCCTCAAACTCATATGGTGAGTTATACTAAGCCTGCTCTTCACATACATACTTCAAACTTTTTCTTAGGCAAAGACTTTATCAACATATCTGATCCATTATCATTGTATGCACATTTTCCAAGTATAATTTTTTCATCTCAAGTACATCACGAATCCAGTGATATCTCACATCAATATGCTTGGATTTGGAATGGTATGTTAAATTCTTAATGAGGTGAATGACACTCTGACTGTCATAGTAAACAATATATCCTTCCTGTTTCAAGCCCAATGCCTATAGAAACTTTTTCATCGATAAAATTTCCTTCTAGGCTTCAGTAATTACTATGTATTCTACTTCTGTAATTGATAGAGCAATACAAATTTATAACTTAGACCGCCAAGAGACTGTTCCCCCTGCAAATGTCATTAAGAATCCTAAAGTAGACTTCCTAGAATCAGTATCACCTGCCATGTCTGCATTTATGTAACTTACTAACACAGGTTCATCATTGTCAAAACATAACATAACATAGAAGTACCTCTTAGATATCTTAATATCTATTTCACTACTGTCCAATGTTCCTTTCGAGGATCAGAGAGAAATCGACTGACAACTCCAATTGCATGAGCTATATCTGGCATAGTACAAACCATAACATATATTAAACTGTCTACTGCAAATGAGTAAAGCACTCTGGACATTTCCTCTTTTTCTTTTTCACTTAGAGGAAATGTCTAGAGTGCTTTGGCTTTACTCATGTTTGACTCTTTCAAGAACCTTTTCAATGTAAGTCTCTTGAGATAACCAAATCTTCCTTTTCTTCCTATGACGAAAAATCTTCATGCCAAGTATTTATTTCACCGATCCTAAGTCTTTAATGGCAAAAAAATTACTTAGCTCTCTTTTAAGCTTTTCAATTTTACTGGCATCATAACCAACAATCAGCATATTATCAACATATATAATAGCATAATAATAAAATCATCATCTGAAAATTTCTTCATAAACATATAATGATTAGATGTGGTTTTATTATACCCTTGACTCATCATAAAGGAATCAAACTTCTTGTATCATTGTCTGGGTACCTGTTTAAGTCCATACAAGCTTTTCCTAAGCTTACATATTAAATTTTCTTTTCTCTTGACTTTGAAACATTCTGGTTGCTCCATGTAAATTTTTTCTTCTAAGTCACTATGAAGAAATACTATTTTCATATTCAAGTTACTCAAATTCTAAATCCAAACGGGCAGCCAAACCAAGAACAACTCGAATAGAGGATATTTTCACCACAAGAGAAAATATTTCTTCAAAGTCAATACATTTCTTCTGACTAAATCCTTTCATAACTAGTCATGCCTTGTATCTTTGTTGTGAGCTATTATTTTCAATCTTCAATTTGTAAACCCATTTATTCTTGAGAGCTTTTTTTTTCTTTAAGCAACTTTACTAAGTCATATGTGTGATTCTCCACCGTTAGTATGGCTTTAACCCACTCATTCTTATGCTCATGTAGAATAGCTTCTTGGTAAGTTTTTGACTCTCCCCCGTCAGTAAGAATAACATACTCATGTGGAGGATATCTAGTAGATGGTTATCGCTCTCTAGTGGATCTTCTCAATGAAATCTCAACTAGTAGTGGAGGTGCTTGTTTAGTTGGTTCAGCATCATCAACTGTAGGAATATTATCACTTGCATTCTCACTATAATCTTCTTGTTCATTTCTCTATGATCATCATGAACTACAAGTGAAGGAACAGGACCCAGACTCCAAGGAATATGAATAGAGGTTTTTGACTTCTCAACATTATCATCATCATCAAACAATTGGTCTTCAAGAAATACATCTCTACTTCTAATAATCTTCTTGTTCACTGGATCTCATAATATGTACTCAAACTCTTCGTGATCATATCCCAAGAAGATATATGATTTTGCCTTATTATCAAGCTTGGACCTCTCATCTTTGAGAATATGAACAAATACTTTACACCCAAAGACTCTCAAGTGATTATAAAATATATCTTTTCATTTCCATACTCTCTCTGGAACGTCACCTTTCAGAGGAATTGATGGAGAAAGATTTATTATGTCTCATAGCCTCCCCTTAAAATGACTTAGATAACTTGGCATGGGAAAGCATATTCCTAATCCTTTTTTCAATAGTTCTATTCATCCTTTTTCTACACTGAGGAGTTTTAGAAATTGTTTTCTTAAGCCTGATACCATAGAACCTATAATAATTCTCCCATGTACTCGCCACCATTATCTAATCCAACATATTTTAGCTTTCTGCCAGTTTCTTTTTAAACATTGACATAAAATTTTTTGAAATCATTAAGTACCTGGTATTTCAAAGTAAAAATCCATGCTTTTCTAAAATAGTCATGACAGTAGTCATATGTTGACAGTACTTAAAATATTTAATATTAAATTATCTCGTAAATAAATATCTTAGTATCGTAGAATTTGAGTTATGTACTTATTTTTTTTATCCTAAAAAAAAAGAATTATATAATGCTGGATCAAAGTAAGTTAGGGTTTTAAGGGAACACCATGCGATGGAACATGTTAAGCTACAATGATTCTACGGTCCCAGACAACGCAATCTCTTTAGGGTTTTACAAAGGCCGGTTCGCGCACCTCAGCGTTGCACACACAACCCCTCGAGGTATTCGAAGCGGCGGCGGCGCGTCAGCAAAGCGGAGATGAAGGTGATAGCGGCGTACCTCCTCGCCGTCCTCGGCGGCAACACACGCCCCTCGGCTGGCGACCTCAAATCCATCCTCGAATCAGGTAAAGCCCGCGGTTCCTATTTTCCTCGGTCTTCGATCGTTATAGGCGTCTGATCTCCATTCTTGGCTCGTAGTGGGCGCGGAGGTGGACGAGAAGAGGGTAGATCTCTTCCTGTCGGAAGTCAAGGGGAAGGACCTCGCGGAGCTCATCGCCGCCGGAAGGGAGAAGTTCGCCTCCGTCCCGTCGGGGGGCGCGGTGGCAGCCGTCGCGGTCTCCGCTCCGGGAGCCGGTGCCGCCCCGGCGGCCGAGGAGCCGAAGAAGGAAGAGAAGGTCGAGGAGAAAGAGGAATCCGACGACGTGAGCCTTTTGATCTCCAAAAACGAAAAAAGACTCGATTTTTCTTGGACATGGAGAATTAATTCTTCTTGACTTGTGTTATTGCAGGATATGGGCTTCAGCTTGTTCGATTAAGGAGGCAGTGGTTGCGTGCTACTTATCGCTATCTTAGCTTTGTTCTCTTATTCTTGCATCAAATGAGGAAAATTTCGGATGTATGAAAGACTTGAAGAAGTTTATTTGGGTTGATTTTTCTGCAACTTTTCTCAAACACTTATCTTTGTTGCTTCCGTCGTCGATTGTATGAATGAGTCGTGCACATTGAGATTTCTTGTCTTCCAGCATAAATTCTTGGTTGGTAATTCCTATGCTCTCTCTGCAATGGATAGTTCTTCGATTATACTCGTGCTTCAGTTCCGGTACACCCACCTTGATATGATCAGGTTCAAAATGGTGATTTGAATAGAAGCATCAGGCATGCATCCCGTCTTTGATATGGTGATGCTTCTAACTCTTTGGTCGATCATGGTTTTGCAGCAGCCAGGCTGGGGATGAGCTTGCTGCCAAATTGCCAGGACATACATGATCTTGAATCGCTTTGTATTATCTTGCAGTGTAACATGACATGGAAATGTTAATTTATCTCAATGGAGCAAATGCATCTTGTCTGTTTATCATATTAATAAGTCTGATTGTGAATATCCAATATGTGATGGTGATTGGGATCTCATTTGGGTCTACCAAGATTTCTTCGATGTTTTAGGTAGTGGAGGATTCAGATATCGTTGAGGATGCATCGATGTTCCTTGGGGTTCTTTGCTGAATTGAGATAGAGCTATCATCAATAGCCGACATGGATGTGGAATATCTAAAGAATTTAGCTGATCTAAATGGAGCCACAAATATTGATTCTGCATTATATTTGAACCTCTACGAGAAGCACATATTCACCGGTGATAGCTGAGCTATATGGCTACCTAAAATGAAGGCATAAGAGAAGCAGATAGCAGTCAAATGTCCACACAAAGGCCTCCGAGAGTCGATTAATCCTCGTCACTGTCGCTATGCGTTACAGCACACAGTGTGTACATGGCCCTCATCATCATCATCAAATAAAATTAGCAGCCAGTTTTGTGCTCAGCTGCTACACAAGCAGTTGATCAGCCATGAATGCTCGAAAAAAGTGGTGTATGCATGTGGTCAATCTAGACAAACCTGCAACGCATACTCCTCCAAGACCCAGATATCAAAAAACTGGGTGTCATCAACGATGGCTTAGTAGCCATGTTGCCAGATTTGGTTTGCTGGCTGAGACTGCACGGTCTGGGAACCACTCATATTGCCGTCGCTGAGGTTCTGTTGATGTTCCTGGGAGGGGCCTGCCTGTGCATCGTGGTGCAAGTTTGGGTACCCCAAAGCTCCAAGATGTGAGGATTGCTGAGTCTGACGAAACCCGCTGTGCTGATTCTGACCTGGATAGTTATAGAAAGTGCTCGTCGGAAGAGCAGACATTGTTCTCGAACCGCCACCATGGATCCACATGGCAGGGTTTTCACTCTGGTGATAATGACCACCTATATTCAGAGGCTTATACTGGAGAATCAAAACACTGTAGTATTTGACAAGCAAGTATGTTTACCTGCTGAAGAGGAACGTGGTGGCTCGCTTCCCTGTGCTGCAAGTTCAATGCTTCATCAAGTCCGATCATCGTGTTAGTTGAAGCAGATGTATGGTTGAGTGTGTAACCTCCAGGTACGTTAGCTGAGCTTCCAAATCCTCCATAAGCAGAGCCTATAGCAGAAGCCTGAGGTAAGCTGGCCACAGACAAGCTACTTCTGTATTGTGGTTGCGAATACTTCATGCCTGCACTGGGCACTGCAGCAGTAGGTTGATGGAATGGGCTGTTTGTGGTGAATGCTTGGTGGACAGAAGGCAAGTAGGCGTAGCTATGGGGTAAATAAGGGTAGCTTATAATATTGGCAAAATGGCCTAATGGAAGAGCCGGCTGAGAGTAATGGTGTACAGGAAGATTTTGAGGGAATACGAGACTCGTGAGCATGGTGGTGCTAGGCAAGGATTGTGGAGTTGATTGAGCATCAGAGAACACCCCTGGCTTCAAAGCCTGCATAAAGATACTAAAGTAAGATCAATAAGAAAATCAAGGCGAACCCTTCAAACGGTAGTTTACACCTTTTAACCAAGTTAACAAGGAATACAGGTTAACTAGATGCAGCAAAAAACAATCTGACCAACCATATTCAACAAGTTCAGATTGGTCACAAGGTGGTCAGGACCAGCCAGGTCCATACAGGCATAAAAATTGATTTGTGTGCCTTCTACCAACCGCTAGCCTAAGATTGAAGAACTTAATGACCGAGAAAAGTTCGTGGAGCACATAGAAGTTAAAAAGTATAATTATTCAGATTGGAGCCATTAATGTTAGGACTGTTAAGTGGGCAAGCCAACTTTACTCATCACATTTTGGCTTGCTAATGCTCCACAAGAATATATTGGCTACAAGGATGTGAAATTTACTTCGTATCAGGTAAAGCTTATCTTAGGTTTAAATGAATCAGTTCTTTATTTCGAAGTTCTAGAACATCGACCTTCCTTGGCAAATATGGTTTGAATAGGATCAGGTGAAGTACAAACATTAAGTGAATGCAAAAAAAAAAAGAATATTAAGAAAAAAACTGAAGATTAGCATGAAGTACTACTACTTCTAAACTTGTTCGCATGTGTGTGTGTATACACACACACACATGTTGTGGCTACTCATGACCATCTCCTTCACCAAGTTATAAATCAACATTCAAGCAATCACACGAAAACAGCTAGTATAATGATTAAGAATTTATGGCAATAGTAAAATACCTCAGGCATGGAAATCTTTGACCCACTAATAGATGATTCTGTTGTGCTATACCTCGTAGGCATTGACTGGGTAGTAAGCAGAGGAGACAAGGGAAGGTCAAAATCCCGAAGATGTGGAATGCTTGCTGCTAAAATACTGTTTTGCAGAGTATTGGGTTGTTGCTGCATGGAAACTTCAAAGGTAAATAAATTTATACAAACATAACCCTTGCATAGAGAGATTAATCATATGAAAATGAAACTATTAAAATGACAAGTATTGAAATTAGTGGTGAATATGGAATCAACAGAAGACATTAAATATTTAAAAGATGATATGTCCATGGTACACATTATGTATTTAAAAAAACAATCATTCAAAGGAAATGGGCACACTTCTCCCCAAAAAGATATTCATTTCAAAATACAAGAAAGAAAACTTTAGATGTAGCATTGAGACCACAAATTCCTTAAAAATTTTCTAAATTCCAGCTTGTAAATAGCATTCATACATGATATAGAATTACAGCAGGACAAAAAACATGATACAAAACTATTTAGGCTTCCACAGTAAAAATGACAACAAAAAAATTTGTAGTGACCATTTCAAATCATAGATAAGTATAATATATAGAATATCTTTGCATCTATAACTCTGGCTAAAAAATTTGTTAATTTCTTATTTAGCAAACTATATCACAACAAAAGGTAACAGTTAGTTCACAAGATTGCAAATGAGAACCTTCAAGTATGTAAAAACATTCTTTTGTTGTCCTAGATAACATGTCAAATTCTTAATTAGTTGACACACAATAGTTGAAAAAGGGCAAAAGAATGGACAAAAGATTACCATTAAACTTGACAAATGGGAAAGACTTTGCATTTGTGTATTTCCTTGTGGATAGGTGTAAGTTGTAGCATTTGGTTGTGTACAGCTTGAAATTGCATAACTAGATCCAGATGGAGAGTTGTACTGAAGCCCATATGTAGTATCCAATGGATCATTCCTCACCATTTCAGGTTGTGAAGTTGAAGGTTCATCAAGATTTTCTGGACCAGCATGAGATCTAGAAGCTACATTCTCAGTCAGCATAGGCTTAAGCCGTCGGTTACTGTCACTCTCATTTCTGTCAAAACATGTATGCCAAATCAGACTGAAATTGTACATGAAAAAGACAAAAGATGCTAACACTACCTTGCATCTGAATTGGCGATTCTAGAAGCATCATCAATGACCGGAGTCACTTCCAAGTTGCTTTCTAGTGGCTTTGATGGAAAAGACCCAGCAAATGCACCAGATCCAAAACTACCAAAGCTTAGATATGCACAATCTGCATTTGTAACCCGTAAATGGTTCGGGATTATCACTGCAGGACTATCTTCAATAGGTTTTGTGCTTGTCTCATGTAAACTTAGTTGACTAAAGTTTGCAGCATCTGAAGAAATCTCCAGGATGACATCCTCAACTGCTAAAGAACCTAGTCACAGAAAAGACAGATATCAACACAGGGATAAAAGGATCATGTTTAAATACCTATTACTGAATAATTCCCTGGAACAGGAAAAGATCCTCATAATAGAAAAAGAAAGAAAAAAAAAGTATCATGCTCAAAGGTATACGCTTGTATTTGCTCCTGTAACTACAAGAAACAAAGCTTAAAAAGAGATATTGTGCTAAATGCCGACTGTGTATTCTATCTTATTGATCAAATCAAAAATATATATTAGACAAGAAGAGGGGGCTAATTACATATTACCCTCTGTACTTGAACCCTTATAGCATCATGATCTATGTACTTCTAAAAGTTACATTGAGCTTTCCATAGTTATGAAATTGCAAAAAATCACTCCATTTTTAATAATGCCGTCTAAAGCACTGACGGAAGATGCTGCACATGACATCACGTGCTGAAGTGACACCAAACAGATAGGCAAATTGGTCATTTCACTCATTACTTTAATGGTAGAAAGTGGCGATTGGCTTAGGGTGGCCTCGTCGAATCCAGCATGTCCTAGTGGCAAGGCATGGTTCATCATTGCCGCTAAGGTCATCCTCCTCAAGCCCCTCCTCACTGCCATACAGCCCAGCACCCGCTATGATGTCCTGTTCCTGATCCTCACCCACGCCACCTTCGGCGTTCGCAACATCACATCGTCCTCCGCACACTTGTCGCCTATGGCTGGTTTGACATCGAGACCTAGATCGACGAATAGGCCATCTTCCTCCTCCTCCCAACTTCCCTTCGCTTGTCCCCCTACGCGACGCCACTCCTGTGGCTCACCACCTCGCCGCTGGAGCTCACCGCCTTCGTCCTCTTCTAGGTGGCCCAGCTCATGCTGTTGTGGAAGGGGATGTATGTCATTCGATCACTACAGAAGCTCTTAGCTCCCATTCTTCGCCGCTTTGCTCTTAGACTAGACTTATACCAATGCCAGTGGATTCGGCCCCATGCTCTCTTCGTCGCTTTGTTTGTCGCCACCCGAGTTCTAAGCACTCTTCTTCCCATTGGTCACCACCAACATCGGCAACTGCATGACGATGGCTCTCACTACGCTAGGAGCCAAGCGAACCAGTTGGCAAGGTAACTGGGTCTCCCCCTCCAAACCCCATCCAACTCTCCATGATCGACGACACGCTCACCAAGCAATTCGCCATCCTGGGGATAACCCTCATCGTGGGCACCACCAACATCCTAGTAAATATGGTGGCTTCGACCAACGTCAACGATCATGAGCCGAATAGCTAACGTGCTGCTCACGGACTACTATGTCGTGCGACGGATAGAGCTCGATATGGAGCTCTGTCATGGTCCAAGCCTGATGGGATAACTGGCCTATCAACTTCATTTGGCCCAAACCACTAAGCAAAATGCTTAAACTGAAGTTGATAATAGTACACTCATCATATCCTTATAAGCTAATCTTAGTCTTGCCCACTTCCGGTGTTACAATTCAAATGAAATTGATAGGCCAATTAGCCTATCAAGCCGAGTCGTGACATTTGGTATTATAGCTTACCTACTATTTGGGCATGGTGAAAGAGCTCGAGTAGGAAAAGACTACCCGTGAATGGAGTCAGAAGACTTGTCATGACGTGGAGCCACCAATGAGCTACACCTCATATGCATCATGCTAGGGTTTGATTTGAGATATGTTGGACATTGATGAGGACGTCAAGCCCTTGAGTTTGGAAAATTATAACACCTCGATTAGTCTCACATCGAAAGATTGGCTTATAAAGGTCTAATGAGTATACTACTATTAACTTTAGCTTAAGCATTTTGACAAGTGATTTGGGTCAAACAAAGTTGATAGACCAGTTAGTCAATCAAGCTCGAGTCATGACAAGCTCTACTCGAGCAATGCGACGAGTAGGTACTACTACACTAAGGGATAGAACGTGGTGAACATAGTGACGATCATAGCCAGCCACACGCCGATAGTCCCTTGCTTCCTTCACAAGGTGAGGGTGATGAAGTCTGTACCAAGAGCGCTCGTCTTTATACCATTGAATTAATAGATGAAATGACTGTTTTGCCCATTAGTTTAGTGCCAATTCAACACATGATATCACATGCAGCGTCTTCCATCAGTGCAACAAAGGGTGTTATTAAAAATGAAGCGATTTGTTGCAATTTTATAACTATGGGGAGCCCAATGTGGGTGAATCCATCAAACTTGACCAAACCATTAACAAGCAAACCCAACGTGGGATGCTTTAGTCAGGGAGATGCAGAAATAGTGCTTCAAGACCCATTACGGGTCCAAGGTCTTTTGTTCTGCTTGACAACTATTATTTTGGCACAAGTTTTTTCGATTCTTAAAAGGAAATAGTTTGAAAAGGTTCAATTGTATGAGATGAATTTCTAGGTGCAAAGATTCCTTAACATCAAGTTGGTAAAAAGGGTCGAAGTATTGTTGATCCATACAATTATGTATGATCAAAAAATCTATAAACTTTTAAAAGTACAAAGACCACAATGCTACAAGGGTTCAAGCGCAGAGGGTAATATGTAATTAGCCCCAAGAAGAGAGCCCTTAGGAGAAGAGCCAAGAGCATACTTCATAAATTCACAATCAACGTAGTCAATAGATCACATAGATGATTGTTTTATATACATCCTAGATGTTAAAAGTTAAACATATTATCTTATGGATAATAAATTAATAGGACACTCACACACAAACTCAAGGATGAAGAGAGGAAAACTGAGGCAACAAGTACCTAAGTTAAGACATGTAGTAGAAAGAAAATACATGGTTGAATCAGTTCACAGTGGATGGGATGGAACTCTTTATATATGAATATGCAAAAGAGAAGTCAACGTTCCATCAAATGAAAATATCGGGTTTAATTTGTTTGCAAAGAAGTCGAACCACAAAGCACAAACTTTCATGCTTCTCAAAGTAATCACAAATTTGGAGTCCAAATGCAGCATAAATAAACAAAAGAAGTGGATGATAACATAAATATAGACAATGCAGATACTAGAACCATTCATGAACTGTCAAATTTTATAATCAATTGTTCCATCGAGCACACTGAATCAGAGACTACACCAACATGTCAACTTGCTCTCAAAAAATAATTATAGATTAAAAGTGACTACCAAAGCCTGCAACAAAAAATTGACTTTTCTTATATTGTAAACTATTTAGAACAGCAAATATCCATGGTGAACAGGAAAGAGGAACAAGTTTATAAAAGATCAAATTTTACCTTCATGATGATCAAGGTCGAGCCTTTGAGATGAATAGGAATTTGTACTTTTTAATAAGCCCTCATTTATATGGGAAGCACCTTTGGAAGTGTCTACTTGTATCTGCCTATCAGATACAGATGTGGATCTGGATTCTGCTGGCATAATTGTAACATTGAGACTTTCCTCTAGATTGTGGATCTCTTCCAAATGAGGATCTACATGCAAATGAGTTCCATCATCAACCAGATTAGATGATGCCAGTTCTAATGAATTTGCATAACCAGTAGATACACCAGACATTTCTGGTGTAGTTGACACACTCTCCATAGGTTGCCCATCAATTAGGGACCATCCATCATCAACATTATGCTGACCTTCAGCAATTCGAACATTATGACTAATCTCCAAAACATGTGTAGATTCTTGACGGGATTCTAACTTTTCATCTAAATCTGATGGAAGAACTGTGGCTGGCGATTGCTTGGCTTTGTGGTGTGACATTTTCAACATGTCTGCATTTTGTGCCATGTAGGACTTTTCACTTGCCATAACAGGCATGCTGGAAGGTTGACTTTGAGGTCTACCCATCTTGACAATGTCAGCCATAGAAACATGTCCTGGCCTCCCCAACCAACTGTTTTGGAAGACAGATGAAGATTGCATGGGCATAGAAAGCCCACCAGTAATGCTTGTTAATTGTATCACATTCCCCTGAGGAACAGACTTGCTGCAAGAAAATGAAGCCACAGAAGAAATTTACATTAAGCATTGCATCAGGACAAAAACATAAACAACAACAAGGCCTAATGTCCCAACTACTTGGACAGCTACATGGATCTTTTTCCCGCCATTGAGCTTTCTTCCTAACCAAGTACAAATCAAATACAAATATAACAAACAAAGGAGATAAAAAGTATATCAAACTTGATCACTTGTGCATCTTGTAAACAATGCAAACCAGGAATCCGTTTATAGAACACATTACAAGGATAGGATCATTAGTACAACCAAACGATAACTTAAAGCAAAATCTTTATTCAGTTTGTTCAGAGAGTAAAAAATTTTCATCTTGATCTGGAAACATGCAACTCTTAACCTATAAACTGAGAAGTGATCACCTAGGAATTGTTGGCCTTTGAGTAGGACTACTTGATACTGTGGCAGATTCCAAAAGCAATGAGTTAGGAAGAGCATTTGTACCATTTTCCTTCTTGTGATTTGGTTTACCCTTAAAAGTCCCATAGTCTACAAGAACACAAAGGAGGGAAAAAAACTGTGAGCAAGTACAAAAGCAAATGCACTAAATTTGCATTCTTGGACACAGATGAAAAACCATAACTTTAAATGGTCATACCAGTAGAACTAGACTGGGAAGAAGTACTACGGGCACCAAGGTCAGTGCCAACCCTAGTCCCATGACCTGAACTGCTATTAACTGTTCGAGACCTGGATTCTGGAGGTTCTCTGATCTAAAAAGTATGAAAAGGATCAACAACATCATGAGGTGACTGGACAATGTAAAATAACAGGAACTATGTGACAAAATAACAATGTTTAAAGCTGAAACACTAAAAGTCAAAAACAAAACTAGAAACAAAAAAAAAAAAAACAATTTTCAGAATTTCAATAAAACAAATGATCATTAATAAAATATACTCTAGTAAAAATGTATTGCTAAGGTCACAAAGAGTGAATTAAGCATGTTGCACAGTTATACTCAACAATCCTGGAAAAGAGTCAACAAGAATGATTTTGCCAACTCATGACCTCACGAAACCAAAATCAATAGATGTGAAATTCATGACTGTGACAGATGCTTGACAAACACCTACAAAGCTATAAGAACTGCTGGACTTTTAAAACAAGCCAAAAGCTTTTTAAATAAACAAACAAGGGATGAACAATGATCAGAGATCATAGGTTGGTTCAGCATGATCTGCAGAATTTATCTATAAACAATGCATAAACTGACCTCCTTTTTCTTTTCACGCTTGCTCTTCACCTCATGGAAAGTATCTGCACCATGAATGAACACTAATTTAGATGTACGTTCACTTAAAACAATAGACTAGGAAGCACATTAAACAATAGTTTGTCAGTATTTTTGAGCTACGATAGCCATCATTACATTCGCAAGATAATGATCAACAAGAGAGACATGCATAAAGAATTACCGCAATTTGTTACCAATCATAATTTGCATATTCACAGCAACCCACATTTCCTGTTGTTAATTCTTAAAGTATATCCTATTATTTCACACACTAGTGAGTGATAAATTAACATTAAAGCATTACAACCATATAGCTGTGGACACTAACAGACCACCGAGAACCAAAACAAAGCCACCATCTTGCATGCCAAATGACCTTCCAAAAGATTAACCTAAAAAAGAATTGAACTTCATTTCCATGTTCCTGAGTTATATTTGGGTCTTTAACTACTGCATCGAACCTGAAGTGGAAGAGATTATGACATCTCATGTTACTGTCACATCGGATGAGGGAAGATAATTGAGCTAGTTTATACGGCAAGATCTAAGCATTTTTGGCAGTAGTCAGGCACATCTAGTTAATGGTCAAGCTAGCATACTAAGGATGAATCGCGATTGGTACATCCCACCCAAACCATATAGACCTAGACAGAATCACTCGGTGTTCCAAGAGCCTAAGACCCATCTTCATCAAACAATGTGCTAAAATAACTTGTTCCTTTGTTGCTCTTGTAAGATTGACAAAATCAACAGAAGAAGAAAAAAATCAAATTTGCTCTTCAAACACGCATAGGATGTGAATAACAAATTTAACTCCTCTAGAAAATGCATGAGGAAAACAAGCATCAACATTATATTGAAAGATAATCAGATGCCAAAAGAGAAACCTAAGCAGATGTTGCTACACGAAACTCAACTAATTAACCTATATTAGGTTCAGTTTCCAGGTACATTTAGATAGCACAATACTGAGAACGCCCAGGGTAGGTAAATGAACTCTCTCAACCCTACCTATTCGGGAATCTAAAGGTAAAAAGTTTCCTCTCTTATTCTTTACTAGGCCAAACAGTACGATAACCTAACAAACGAAAAAATTCAGAGAACGACCATGGCACCTTATTAAATAATCAAGAATGCAAGAACGTGAAACCGAGAGGGAAGGCCGTATCTTCACCTTAGATCGAAGGAGAAACGATTACTGTTACGGAAAACTCCGACCTACTGTCCCTTTCATCTCAGGCCCAACCGAGTAACCGACGAAACCCACAACACCATCTTTATCGCACGATTTCATGAGCAAACAGAAGAACTAAGCACAACCGGGCAGGAAAGAAACGAGAAAAAGGGAATCTCAAGGGGGGGGCACCTTGGGCGAGAAGGCGGTGGACAGCCTCATTAGGGTCCATATTGCACTCCCGGAGCATCGCGTAGATCTCCGGCTCGGGACAGTGAAGGATCTCCCTCAGGCTCTGCACCAGCTTCCTCGACCCCGTCGGGATCGGGGCAGCGGCTCCATTCGCCCTGCACGCTCCGCTCATCTTCTCGTTCCCCTTCCCCACGCTCTCGCTCTCGACGAGCTTCTCTCCTCTCGCGCAAGAGGACAAGGAAAAGAGGGCGTCGTGAGCGGCCTTAACCCTCTTCGGCCGCCTCCCCACCGTATATATATGTACAAGCCTCGCCAAAATAATAATGTTAAGGTTATCGTCGCGACAAAAGTAACGAAGACTGGGAAGAAACAGCCTTTCTCATTTGCACACAGAAGGTGTGTTTAACTTCGTAATAATCGTCTGCACATTCACACTCCTCTTGTGCTAACGATCACGACTTAAGTGTTCTCTTATTATTTGACTTATTTAATATATATATATATATATTACAAAATTATATATACTAAAAACTTATAATAATATTTAAATACTCTTCATTTATTTGATTGATGTACTCTACAGTTAAATACTCTAATTGTTACTGATTTTAAAGTACTCACTCCATAATGTCTTGTCTTCAAATCATGTTGCTAATTGGATGACCAAACACCTCCACTTGTCTTGCTCGGTGCAATTCCACCTGCATCGGTTGAGGAAGACAGATGTCAATGACATTTGAACTTACAGTTGGTCACATTGCTCCACTTTTAAGTAATCAAAGGATGACTGTGTTATGGTGACATTAAGAGAAAGATACACTTCAAGTCATTGGACCTCTCAATCATGCTTTATTTTCTTAGCTAATTGTGATGATCTAAATCACGCATCCCATCTGGTTTTAAGAACATAAATCAGATTGAAGTGATAAAGGAGGTTTGAAAGCAGCTAAATAATATTGAAAATGCAGAAAAAGGATGGATGATGAGATGATCTTGCACCTGAGTAAGAAATAGTCATGGGTTCATTCACCATCTATTGAATCAACAGCAGATAATTTGTTCCACCCATCATCAATCATCGTCAAGGAAATTAAATCTGTGGCATAAAACTTGTCATATCAGCATCAATCACAGTGTTTCACATATCTGTTGTATACTGCATAATTGAACTTTGACCATTTTCTTAACACACGCAACCATATTAAATGTTGAATGCCTTGTGCACCTATTTTACTTCCTTAATAAGCAAGCAGCAAAACATGCAAAATAGCAATATTAAGGTAAGATGATTACAGTTCGCATGCCATGATTCCACACTCCCATTACAAGATATTATTGGCATGAGTTCAGTAAACATGGTGTTCTGCTGCAGTATCTGTCAGCTTCCCATGTAGTCAAGTAGATATCATATGGATTTTTTTTACTATGCAGAAGCTTTTTTTCTCAGAAGATGGTCAAAACTGAGTGTGTTGATCTTTGCAGCGAGTATAAAATCGTTTTCGGTGAGCCCTCCTGACAGACCAACACAAGGACCATGTTAACAGAACTGGAAAAAGGCGGTTAGAAAAAGAATCTAGCTGCTATAATATTTCAATTTCAATTTCATGAAAGCGATGATATGCTAAGTTGCCAAAAAAGTTCTAGTATGAAGTAAAAGGCACAAGTGCTTCTATCAAAAACCAAAAGACAAGAAAAAAAACAATTGTGATTGGTAAAGTGTTTGACTATCTTTGTCTCCACCATTTCCTTCGTAAACAACAGCTTGAAAGTTTTAAAATGAACTTCAAATGAAGGCACTACCGTGAAAATTATCGCTTATCAATGCCACATGCAATAAGAGATTGACATCCAAAATTTTAACAAAAGATACTACATTCATCCACCATATCCTATATCATTAATAAATAGAATTGTGAAAGAAATCACAACATTATAAATTCAGATACAAAATATAAAGACAGGAAATAATAGCTGAATTGAATCTACTTTCATTACAGTATCATTTGTTCAGGTCATAATCGAAGAATTTTCCTAAGCGTTTAATTCATATATGCATCCAGGGAATACTAAATATCTTCAAGGTTCAACGCAAATGCATACCGAATCGACCATGGAAGCTCAAATGATTGCAATCAGATGAATTCAAGCAAAGATAACAATAACTAACTTGAAGGGAGCTTAGGCACTTGTAACAATAGACACCAAACAATTCTGACAACTCTTCCCCCTTCCTAGTTGTCAGAATTGTTTGGAGTCTATGGTCCCTTTATTCACATATGCCTTGTGCTGGATGCTTAAATTTTGAAAATAAGGTAACAATAGAAAACTTACCAGCTGAGTGAGTCCACAAGTCAATTTTTACATTATTCCAACCAACCAGATGAAGGTCAGGATGATGACCTGAGAGACGAAAATGCTCCCAGTGAGGATATATCTACCCCAATAAACACAACGATGACATATAGTTTCAAGTACTTCAAAAATATTATAGAATGTCAAGAGAGACTCATGATTTAAAATTTAAACTATTAATATGTGTGGTAGTTCTAATTTACCCTTCACAAACAAACCAAATGTTAACTCATAACAAATAATCTATGAGAGTCTGAGACAATACACCATATATTATCAATAAGCCTACAATATACAAACATGAAGGTATCAATTTAACATAGGTCCAATTAAAGAATCACTAATTAATTTGTTTAATAGGTCAAACTACATGCTGAGGACATTCGTAGTCATTTTATTAAAACTCTTAGCAGGCTGTTCGAGTAATTTTCTGTTTTCAAGATCATCCTAAAGGCCAAATCTAGTGCACGAGGCTCTTACCAATGCAAGATATTTGCATTGATCTTAAATAAGCAAGAAAACTTATGAGTTTGAATAAGCACATATAAGTTATAACTACACATAAGCACATTGCATATGTCTATACATATTCGCAAATATGTGCATATGCAATGGGAGAATTCTGTACATGTAATGTTTGGAAAACTATAAATGAGCAATGCACAACAAAGGTCCTGACACCACCTTCTGCCTCTGCAGTATTCGCTACAAGCTGAAAGAACTCCAATCCTTTGGTAAAACTCTTCACTTTCCATGATCGATGCAACTTCAGGATGCCTCCTTCACTTACCAAGCCCCATCCTTGCACCTATTTTAACATAAGAATCAAAAATATGTTTTGCAACTCAATTAGAAAGAAGACTGGTAAGGATGTTGGTTAGTGGCCTGTTTTTATTGTTTATTATAACTTCATATCTCATGAATGAATATGTTGCGATACATTTTTCCCTTAAGAAGAAAAAGAAATAAAAAATAGCCCAAAGGGACAGCCTGAACCTGAACAAGGAGTTCATTGGCTGATTGTTCTGACATAGCTCGTATATCCTTTGAGTTGCATGGGACACATTTCTTGCCAGCTAAATCTGCAGCTTGAGACACGACAAATATCAGATGAAATGAGAAAAGTATGACCTCTTTTCCAGAAATTACAGCATAGCAAATATGTCTGGGAATCATCAAGAAGGCAGCCCAACAGAAATCCCAACTACAGAAGGGTATCAATGCCCGGGAAAGCATATTGTAAAACACTCATGGTAAGCCGAATACCCACTAGGAGATTTGGGCACAAATAAAAAAGCATTTCATATTAGAGATGGCAAAGTCCATGTTATGATGCTAACATCTTAAAGGCTTGTCATATAATATCACACAACAACATAAAACTTTCTAAACTTCAAAAAGCTGAATTCAAGATCTGCCCAAGAATATGTCTGTGCCTGACTAGGAAATATTTGAAAGTACATTTTGGTTTTGCAATACAAGATTACAGGCATAGAGAGAGGCAACACCCACCTTGGGGTAAAGAACAAGAACAAAAACCATAGGTAAATCTCCTATTTGATGACACGTTAACATGGCCTGTATGCAGCTTGACAATCCAACAATCTGAACTGCATGAACATGAGATAAACTTTTAGATTAACAATGAAAAGGAAAATAAAAAGACATGGTCTCACTGATAACAACTCCTGGATAACATATAGTAGCAAGCTGGTGTCATATGCCAGCCACAAGTTCATTCATTCTAGTACATGTGACACTGGTGACTTCCAAAAAACAACAAAGAAAGGAATGGATAATGGAGGAACTGAAAGATCATGTCAATCGTATCAAGCTTTGGGTGGGCAATAGGTATATGTTTGTCCACGCTCAAGTGAACCATTTGTTGGATCGTGACAGATGTCCACTCGATAATGCTTCATTATTTTGGTTTGTATTGGGACAATAGTCAAAACATAAAAAATCAATTACAAGCACCAAAAAGTTAGTCTTTTAAAAGTGATGTTCGAGGGGTACAAAGAAAACCATATGCCCTGTAGCATGCATAACTCAGCTCCAATGGTCAGTAGTTGGAAATGTTGGCTTCTCTCTGTACTGATATGTACATGAATAATTATTTTAAGGTCTTGGAACCAAAATGTTATGCATCTAGAATCAATAAAATTCACAGATTGCTGAAACCTAAGTGGTGCAATTTAGATACTTTCTTTAGACACAGTAGTGTGTTGGATCCACATGGTGGAAGAATCATATGAATGCATTCTCAACGGTTAACATACATATTTCCAATGCTTTGGACGAACTGTTGTATAGTTTAAATTTTAATGTCAATGACAGGAGAAACCTGTGAATTATCACAGATATTGATAAAAAAATAAGAAGGAAATCACATGGAACTATGATCATAGTAGCAGAAGTTATCATTCACATAATAAAACCAATTGGATCCACCAAGTGTCCTAATCTTGAAGTAGAAGTTATTATTGATAGTCCAAGATCACAAATATTGATTGATATGATATCCATTTGTTTGTTGAATAGATAGACTGGCTGAAAACACCATATCTACACCATGCAGTAAAACATTGAGAAGCCCCTAAGCAAGTAATAGTTACCTGGGAGGAGTCAAATCCTGTTTACATAGTAACTGAAAGCGGAAAAGAAGGTACTATCATGCCTATTGATATGCATCTTTCATAAGAAAACAAATTATCCATAGTAATTGATAATTGTTCCTTCCTTGTACTTAAGCGAGCATACAGAGGCAACTCATGGCGATATTCCCTTCGCGGGAATTAACACGATCAGACATGAGACGGACGAAATTAGCACACAAAGGTAAACAATTTTGAGAATCAAAGATGTGCACTTTGCCTCCTCAATGAAATCATATATCTAATACCGAATACAAAAGATGATAAAAAATCAACGGAAGAACAAGACAGCTCCATCCTTCAATATAATTAATCGAACACCTTGTAAGCAGTTTCAAATTGCACTACAAGCAGCTCTAAAAGATTCCTTTTTCTTCCAGATCGAACCTAGATAAAATTTTCGCGAAGCGAGAGAGAAGAATCATACCATCCATGACCCTGGAACGGTGCCTTGGCTCTCAGAAGAGGAACCTGTGAAGCGACGAGCCGGAGTAAATAAGAGGGTTTCAGAGACAGTCGGACAGGACAAAATCTCTCATAACGGGAAACAAAAAGGAAACAGCAGGGCAGAAAAGTAATGACATTGGCGAGCGCGAGCAATCGCGTCTGCATCCCCCGAATCATCGCTGCAGTGAGTACGGGTCGAGTTCGAGTGGTGGCGAATGGGCTGAAAAGACGCCACTTGAAGCCGTGGCGAGGAGCACCGCACAGGGGAGACGACGGTCTAATGGGCCGGATCTGTTTGCAATTGCGGGTAAACCCGATTAGAACGGATCAGCTTTCTGATCCGACAACCCGACGGTTGATGCCATCCGATAACCCGGAAGACAAGAACATGTGGACCGCTTTAGGCAGCAACTTAAGGTTAAACCACGTTTGAGTGAGTGTTCTAAGCGGTTCGATACACACCATTGGCACCACCGGTTTGCGTGAAAGCCAAGGGCGAGCCACTTAGCTTACACGTGGCGATGCCATAAGTCCCGATGCCTTCCTTCGGCTTACACGTTACCCGATTCCTCACAGCATCCGAAAGTAGTGTTACCCACAACAGGAACCCCCACTTGTTTACCTCTCGGGGCCCACCTGTCTACCCACGCCTTTGGTGTGTGCCCTGCAGAAGAGGCCAAACGAAAGATGGATGGGACCCACTACCTGGCGACTGTGGGTCTGATATTAATTGCATGCAAGTCCAATATTCTCCTTTCAATTTACGTGTCAACACAAGCACTACCCGCAACGTTTTCCCTCTTCGTGATTCCTGGACGCTACGGACCCCATCGCGGGTCCAAGTTCAACATCCAATTAAGATGCAGGTGGATCAGTGAGTAACAGAATAACGATTAGGGAAAGTATTGATATACCCGGTCCTTTCCTTCACACGAAAGCCACATCACAGTTCTCATCCCCAAATCGTGGACCTCGTGTGCACACACCAGCGAAGATATCTCATCCAACGATTCTTATCGTTTCAAACGAAATATCGGACGGTCGATACCGCAGTATATACTCGCTCTAATTTCTTTGGTTTCTTCTTCTATATAAGGACGCAACTCAACTCGAAGACTGACAGAGCAAGACGGGGGCTGGTTGGATAACGTTGGGAGCTTTCCCTTCAGTCCCGATTCCTCTCATCGGTGAGTTGCCTCGGATCCTTTTGCCACGATTTGGTGTTTCTATGTAGATGATTGTGTTCGTGTCGATCGATCAATCGATTCTTTACTCCCGATTTCTTGCGGGCGATCTCTTCTTCTTTCGACATTGTAATACGCTCACGCTTTAGATTGTGAAATACTAGGGTTTTATTTCCTTCTTTTCGATCGTTAGGCGATCATGGTTACCGGACGTGGTTTACTCCCGGCTGTTGTTCTGCTTTCGATCCTTCTGCTGCCTTCGATTCTTCCGGCATCGGCCGATGGTTTGGTCAGAATCGGGCTGAAGAAGAAACCCTTGGACGAGAACGATCGGTTCGCGGCTCGGCTCGTTCAGGATGGGAGGCGTTCGATCTCCCGGGAACATGGCTTTCGTCTCAAGAACGGGGAAGATGTTGATATTATTTCTCTCAAGAACTACATGAACGCGCAGTACTTTGGGGAGGTCGGCATCGGCTCGCCCTCACAGAAATTCACCGTGATCTTTGATACCGGGAGCTCGAATTTGTGGGTTCCCTCTTCCAAGTGTTACTTCTCGGTGAGTCGTTTCTTGGTTTGTTGTACAACCATGAAACAGTTTGCTTGTGAAAGAACAGATGTTGATAATTCTAACGATGATCATGGGTGTTGGCTGTTGTATTTTTTTAACAGATCGCTTGCTTTTTCCACTCGAGGTATAAGTCAACTCGATCAAGCTCCTATCAGAAAAATGGTTAGTCTCTGGTTTTTGTTACTTGGTTTGTATAGCTTAAGGTTGTTTTATTTGCTTCAGTCGTTTACATTATTATTTCGTCTTTGTTCTTTTATTGTATTTAAACTCTTTCCATACTCAGCAGTGACAAAATATTGGACCTTATTTGGAAGATTGACCATGTTGCTGTTCTGTCTTAATTGGCTAGTTGATAATTGAGTAGTTAAAATTTGGTATATGTGGAACATGATAGAGAAACCATGTTACCAACATGTAAACTAGTCGACACTTGGGCCACTGTGTAGCAGATTAACAGTTACTGTGCATAAACTTACTCTTGGCGGTAGAGTTAAACTCAGTAATGTTGCAACCCCTCGATTATGAGACCTTTTTGAAGGTGATTCTACCCTAATAACCATTAACATGTTTAAAAGGCCTCTGGAATCGTGATCTTGTACCATATCTCATACAACATCCTTATTTGTCAGGCCAAATGCATATAATAGTTTATCCTCTTTGGGCTACACATTTGTGATCAGGGTATTCATCAGGTTGTATGCACATCACCAGTCATTTTTTGGGTTATTAATTTTCCTTTGACCTATGTTTTATGATTTACACAAACTCATTGTAGAAGTTGCAGCTAACATCAACATGCATTACCTCTGTAATGTCAGTTCCTTATCTATTCTCCCCCTTTCTGATCTTCATTGTCTTGCATTCATCATTTTATCTGTATTTCTTTCATCCATCTAATAAATTAGATGTTAACACTTAGTTGGGTTATCCTCATCAGGCAAGTCTGCAGCTATTCATTATGGATCAGGATCAATTTCTGGTTTCTTTAGCCAAGATCATGTCACAGTTGGTGGCCTAGTTGTTAAGTCTCAGGTTTGTAATTTTGAGTGTATTATCATTTCAGATTTAGTCAATAAATGTTTTTCTTGAGGTTCTTAGATTTACAAATAATAAACTTGGTACAGGACTTTATTGAAGCTACCAGGGAACCAAGTGCCACGTTCCTAGTGGCAAAGTTTGATGGCATACTTGGACTTGGTTTTAAGGAGATATCAGTTGGGAAAGCCGTGCCTGTGTGGTATGATGGCTCTTACTCTCTCTTGTTCCTATCTAAATAATATGATTTAATGATTATTTATACAACCTTTTTTATTTACTTTGTCATGTTCTCATTTTTGTTTGATAATGTTTCTTTTTCTTCTTATGAATTATGATTACAATTATTTAAAACAGTACTGAACAATGATTGTACAAATGAACCTGTTTGGTCAACTCTAAAATTATCAAATAAAGAAAAGGTTGAAATTGCACAATTAACTCAAAAGTAGAATCCTCATGTGTTGAAAGCTCAAGACAACTTGAAAGGTTCACTGGCTCTACTTTGCATTTAAAAAGTTGTAGCATAGAGATTAAGATTCCATTATCTATTTTCTAAATTTGATGTCTCTTAAATTGTTTTCAGACCAAATCTCACTAAGTGATTACCAAGTGATAAAATTATAGCATTATACCGGGAATAGATTTTTTATGACTTCTTCGACAGAAAGTTGATTTTTCCTTGCTCTGAAAAAAGAAAATATTATCATCATAAACTTTTTAAGTCATTGAGAGATGTATACATTTCTCCAAATTAGTGTTTCCAACTTGTCGTGTACATGGCTTGTGGTTAAATGCAGCTTCCTATTTGTTCAGATTGTCCATTTCTCTAGTAAAGCCTTCGATAAGGACATTGTGGCAAAATGCTAAGCTTTGTTATAAGGCCACTGCCGAAATGATGTAATGTTGTTATGATTTTGCAACCTAGTGTCTGATGCCTATTCACAATACTAGGTGCCCAGGAGAAACTGAAATAATTTTCTTTGCTAATCTTCTTGAAGGAAGAGGTGCAGTATAAGTGGTTAATTTCCACTAATGCCCATTATTTTGTGGCACTATACAGTCATGTGTGCTGGAGGAATGAAAACGTAGTCTCACTGAGTCTTCTTCATGTTGAGTTATAATGTGCTTTACTTCTGGATCCATAATTTCTTCTTCTCCATATTAGAGTTTCGGAGAGAGTGGATGGAGGTTTCTTCTCGTGTCTGTCAGATTTGTATTTTTATGACACAAATCATTAATGTAAGTGAGAGTGGAGTTTAGTTGGCTAAAGTTAGCTAACTTTTCCTTATGCACAGGTATAATATGGTCAAGCAAGGTCTTGTTAAGGAACCTGTTTTCTCTTTCTGGTTCAACCGGCATGCTGATGAAGGGGAAGGTGGCGAAATTGTTTTTGGAGGGGTTGATCCAAACCATTATAAGGGCGAACACACATATGTTCCTGTAACTCAAAAAGGCTATTGGCAGGTTACCTCTAAACCCTGTTTACTTTTCCAATCAACTGAATGCCCAGTTATGCACATGGTCTGCCAAGTCTGTGAAATATACCAATTCTTTTCCCTTTTTTCATTCACAGTTTAACATGGGAGATGTACTTATTGGAGGCGAATCTACTGGTACATCTTGTGGATATTTTTGTTTGGTGTGGTCATGATCTTATTCTTCTTTCCTAACTTATTGTGCATTTTTCAGGATTCTGTGATGGTGGTTGTGCGGCTATTGCAGATTCAGGAACTTCTCTGATTGCTGGTCCAACTGTATGTATAATATATGGTGACTTATTTAATTAGCAAAACCCATCTTCTTTCACCTGTTTATTTCTGAAAATATACTTTATGCTAGGATCTGCTACAGTATTTGTTCCTGATAGATATCTGCTTAAATAATTCAATGTTACATCATTGCGATATTTCTAATGTCATGTTGATACAATTCTTTTATTCATTGAATTTACTTTTTTTTATTGCGAAGAGACACACTTTGGTCCTTCTAGGTGTGTAAATTTGCTTGTATGATTGGCACGTTATATTTAACCTTAGTAATCCAACTTATATGTCACATCTGTTGTGCTGATGAGGCTGTGCATTAGTTTCAAGTCATTTTTAAAGAGTTGCTTGCTGCTCTAAACTTGGGCATTTTACTTTTATATATTTCATTTGCAGTCTATGTTGCTTGCTTTGGTGTTTGCATGTCCAAGTAGTCATTGTTGGTGATGCTTCACTTGAGCATCTTAGTTGCAAGAAGCTGGGTTCGTGATTGATCAAAATTTTTTGCAATATTATAACTCATGGTTCTGCTGCTTTTTGTTTTCTTTTTATTTTCACTAGTCAATTTTTTTTTATTTTTTCTGAGCAAAAGAACTCATTTTTGGCTGGGTTGGTATGGCTGCTTGTTAGTAGAATTGTTTGTGCTTTCATTAATTATGATCATTTACTTTGAACATGACATGAGATGCTATTTGACTGAGTTTACAAATAGAATCAAAAGCTGTTGTGCGCGTAGAAGATCTAAGAAAACCCAATCAAAGGATTACTAATATGTGAATTTGAGATTGTGGGCCATTCTTGTGCCAATATTTCATATTTGTTGAACTTTTTTTTTTCTCCGGTGACACTTTATTTTTCAAAATAAATTTCAAGCTTCAGTTGAAAAGTTGGTCTCTTACAGTACCCTCTTTGTTTGCATTCTTGAAATGCGGATCAGACAAGACTCTGTACATTATCTCTATGGAATATATGATAAGAAAGCTGACAAACTCAAACTCTTATGTTTAATCTAGTAGTATACTTTGAGTTGTTGCACAAATGGTTCATTTGCTTTGTCCAGGATTGCGTTTTTTGTGGGACTTGATACATGGAGTAGTGTGTTACTTGATTGATGGTATTTGTAATTTACTGTCTTTTTCACAAAGGTACTTGCATGTGTAATAGGATTACCAAGATTTTTTTTTTTCTTTTTCAATCCTCACACTGCACATGAACTGCCAAACGAATTACATTTATCAGATACATTTATAGTGTGTATATGTAGTAATTCTTAATGCAAACCCATTAGCTGTAGTGTTTCCTTTTGTCTAGACTACCAACCAATGATTGATATCTCCGGTACCTTTCTGCAGACCATTATTGCAGAAATTAACCAGAAAATTGGAGCTTCTGGTGTTGTTAGCCAAGAGTGCAAAGCAGTAGTGGCTCAATATGGGCAACAAATTTTGAAAATGCTGTTGTCGGAGGTTTGCATCATTTGTTTCATGCCTGTGGTGATCGTAGATAATCTCGCGGGCCATCTGATTATTGAGTGCTGATCCTATTTGATTTTGTAGACTGAACCAGCCAAGATTTGCTCTCAGATTGGTCTGTGTACCTTTGACGGAACTCGAGGAGTTAGGTTAGTAGTCAATCACTGATAAAAGTTTAATGTTTTCTTGGGGTTTAATAATGCATTTGTTTCTTGTACTCAATTGTTTTTCACATCTAAGCTTCCATTTTTTTGGTTTATATTTGTGTTTGCAGTATTGACATCGAAAGCGTGGTGAATGAGAATGCCGATGCATCATCTGGTGTGCAGACCAATAGTATGTGCGGTGTTTGTGAAATGTCAGTTGTGTGGATGCAAAACCAGCTGAGACAGAACCAGACGCAAGAACGAGTGCTGAACTACATTAATGGGGTGAGTTCATTTTGAACCATGTGATGCACATTAAAGACGGACGTACGAATTAGATCATGTCTTGGGTTTCATTCCAGCTATGCGAGCGGCTGCCTAGTCCCATGGGGGAATCATCAGTAGACTGTGCTGCCATTTCGTCCATGCCTGGTGTCTCTTTCACTATTGGAAATAAAACATTTGAGCTTGCAGCAGAACAGGTATAGTTTGGTTCTACATCATTACTAAGCTCTTGGTATTTACTTTCTTGATTAATTAGAATGTTTCTGAAGGTTGTTTTATCAGACTTGACCATATAATTAATCAATCCACCTTTGTTTAATCTCACCATTAACCTTTTGACATGCGTTTTTTTGGGGTTTGCAGTACATACTGAAGGTCGGTGAAGGTGCTGCAGCACAGTGCATTAGTGGGTTCACAGCCTTGGATGTGCCACCACCTCGTGGTCCCCTTTGGTGCGTCCTGCATTTTATCGTCATGTCATATTTGTAGTAAAACATATTCATCCTTCATCCTTTTTCTAAACTTATGGAGTTGCAGGATCCTGGGAGATGTTTTCATGGGAGTCTATCACACTGTATTCGACTACCGCAACTTGAGAGTTGGGTTCGCGGAAGCAGCATAGAAGACAAACAGATATGCGCTTGCACTTTGTCGATATACTAAAACCCTGCTGTTCGTTTCATAAGAAGGCAAAGACTGTCCATGTATATAAGATGTAGTGTGTTTTATCTAAAGTTTCAGCTAAACAACAACCAGTGATCTATTACGATCCTCTACGGACACCTTTCGTACATGTTGACTTGTACTCGAAAATCTCAAATCTTACGAGTCTAGTGCAAAGCTTCTGGATGGCTGCTGTCAGGAGCCGCCCTGGTTCATCACATTATTCACGTTTTAAGCACGTCGCCCTCTGAGAGAAGGTGACGCTTTAGTAGAACACCTCCCAGGCGGAGAAAGGATTTGGATGGGAGGAAAAATCTTGTTTTGTTACTTTGCAGATAGATCTCTGGTAGAATAGGAAAACCCTTGCTGACCGCGTGCTGGAAAAGGTCTTTGGTATTTGCACGGTTGGACTTGGGAGGGATGCTTTTAATTTTAATACGATGGGTGTAACGACCGCTTGGGCTAAGATTTCTTCTCCCCCATTTTCTTTTGACCTACATGGCCAAAAGAAAAGACAAAGTCAAATGTATTTTTATCAAGGCCGAGGGTCAGTGTGACTGAAACAAGATGGTCTGCCGTGCAAAAGCAATTTATGAATCCGAGAGGAAGTCAATCTTACGGGAAGGAAGACGTCTCTAACTATTCATAGACTTGTACGTACTGACTGCGTGTTGAAGCAAGCATGCAATTTTATCGGGAAGGCGGAAGAAGAATTGTGGTCATCAAGGGAGGGAGATGGTTTGTTGGGGTTCATGCACCGAGACGGTCTAACATCTAGCTAGCTAATTCGACCGACCTTGGGACTCGTGGTCAAGCATCATCTCCACCCACCCATCGTTTTTGCCACCATTGATTGTCCTTCATTCTGACTAAATCTACTCCTAAGCATAAGATCCCATTTGATCCTCAGCCGAATGAGGTATACGCAGTAATCTCACACTAGACAACAACAACAACAACAACTTGAAATCAATCATCCCGTCACAGACAAGACGGATGATCGATTCTGATCCATTACTTAGTAGGGTATTCATTCTTCTTGATTATTATTTTTTTTATTTTATCCTATTCAATTCTAAATTCAATGACTATTTATTTAGTAGGTACCTATCCATACGTGACTTAATTACCTCTCACCTTTTACATGATTTATAAGCAGATTAAATAATAATAATCGATTAATGTTGTTACCGGCTCCTACTTGGGTTGGGCCGATCCATTGTGTTCCTCTGCGGCCTCTCCTTCCACGAAGAGAGAGAGAGAGAGAGAAGTCGACGCGGTTGACGGGTTCGCTCACGTGAGACGCGCCGCAACGGTCGGAGGCGGTGGACTTACCCTTCATCGAGGCCGTCTCATCCTTGATACGAGACGCCCCAGGGACGGAGCCCCCCAACTATTGACGCCCATCATCCTTCTCGGTCTCCTTCACGTCCTCCTCTCCTCCCCGCCTGCCACGTTCACCTACTAAAGACTGCCCCAACTCTCCCTCTCCTGCTTTTAGCTCTCTTCCTCTTTGCCCTCCCGGTGTTGGTTTCCTTTTGGTCATGGAGGAAGACAGCCGTAGAGGACGAAGCTTAGAGCTCAGTGGTTCAGCTGGCGTGGTGGATGAGATGGATTTCTTCGCCAAGGCGGAGAAGGAGCGAGCGAGGCCGGCGTCGGCCACGGATCATGGCGTCCCCCATCTCGGTCTGAAGAAAGAAGATCCGGCGGCCGTTAATGTCAGCGATCCAATCTTGTTCGTTTGCTGTCATTCATTATCTCGGCTCGTTGTTCTAGTCGTCTAAAGAATCCATCTCTCTCTTAGATCGGCTTCCAACTATTTCCCGAAACCTTGGAACGTGATCACCCGACGGTACAGCAGCAATCGCCGCCTGATGAGGATAACGATGCTAAGCGCGTGGTAAGAGCCCAACTATTGTATTCACGAGGAATTGGATCGTCGGTATGAATCCTTGTTCTCTATCTGTTTCTACCCAAACTAGGTAGAAGCGATGCAAGCCGAGCTCGCACGCACCAACGAAGAGAACCGGAGGCTGAAGAACATGCTTAGCGACGCCACCAACAACTACAACGCTCTTCATGTCCATCTCATCCGGCTGATGCAGCAACGAAACCTGAGCGATGGAAACACGCAGTTCCATGAGGTAGCATCTCTGTGGTGCTGATCTACGGTGGTAATTTGGTAGAGGGAGCAATTGCAATATTCTCATGTTGCACTTGATCTTCCATCAGGTCACCAGCGAGGCTGACGAGAGACGAGAAGAAGGTGATGAAGAAGGCGGAGCTGTAGTTCCGCTGCAGTTCATCGATCTCAGACCGGCCTCGGTGGTCGATGAAGAGTCCCACTCGATCACAGATGAAGGAACTCGGCGACGTCGCTCTTCCTCCCCAGCCGATCAGCCGCCTTCCAAGAGCTCAGAGCAGGAGCACGAAGCAAGCACGAGGAAGGCCCGCGTCTCCGTTCGAGCTCGGTCCTCTGCACCGATGGTAGAGCTTCCCTTCCCGTCTGTGTAGTGCTCGTGTTCGATCGTAGTCGCAGAAACTGTTGTTTGACCAATGACCACCTCTAATTCATGTATATAGATCGGCGATGGATGCCACTGGAGGAAGTACGGGCAGAAGATGGCGAAGGGAAACCCCTGCCCTCGAGCTTATTACCGGTGCACCATGGCCGCCGGTTGCCCAGTTCGCAAACAAGTAGTACTTTGATCTTCTTTTACGTATAACTATCTGAACTCCATCGCTATTAATGCGTCACGGCATCAAATAGGTTCAGCGGTGTGCCGAGGATCGATCGGTGTTGATAACCAACTACGAGGGGACTCACAACCATCCTCTTCCTCCTGCAGCCATGGCGATGGCATCCACCACCTCGGCGGCGGCGGCCATGCTGTTATCCGGCTCCACGTCGAGCAGTGAAGGGGTGACGAACCCCAGTAATCCGCTTGCCAGAGCTATCATGCCTTCCTCGTCCGGCGTGGTCACCGTCTCGGCGTCGGCTCCGTTCCCGACCGTCACCTTGGACCTCACTCGCACATCCGGTCCCCTGCCGGCTTCGTCGTCAACGCGGGTCTTCGGCCAGCCGCCGCACAACCAATCCAAGCCACAGTCGGTGGCTGACACGGTGAGCGTGGCGACGGCGGCCATGGTCGCGGATCCTAACTTCACGGCGGCGCTCGCCGCTGCCATCTCCTCGATGATGGGCCGGAAAGGCGACGGCGGCACGCATCAAACGAGCGACAGCAAGTGATTCGAGGATCGTGTTGGCACGCAAACAACTCATCAAACTTGTCCTTCCTCGTTCTTCACTGTTCGTTCACACTTCTCTTGTCCATTCTCTTCTCTTCTCTTCCCTAATTAATCGAGTAGGTGGAAGGAGGAAAAGAATAAGCATCTCTTCTGTTTGCTGGAAAGAAAACAAAAAAGTACAGCCACAATATTCCTTTTCTTTGGATTCTTATGGCTGGCGATTGGATTCATGGATCGGTGGCGATGTACGTGCACGATAAGATCGAAGGTGTCGACGCACGTCAACCGCGCGGCCGCAGCCGTGGGGATTTGACACGCCAAATCCGCCGCGGTCAGACTGCCTGCGAGGGGAAGAGTTACTCAACTCAGCTGGAGATAAAACCAATCGAATGGCCGGCCAATACAATGAATGCTACGACTGGCACGAGAGACAAATCAACGAACAACACATAGTTGTCGATCGGTGAAAGGGAGAGCTGTCATGAAATCGTGATCGATGTTGATGGCAGCGACAAAGAGAGACATCAACTATTGCTCGTCATTAATCAAACCCTCCACAAATAAGATCAAACTTTTCTTCTACTGTTCTCTTCTATCTCATCGACTTACCAGAAGAGAAGATGAACAGATCAGTGGATCTCATGTGTTTTCTTCATTCAAACATATGAGTGTCTATTTTTGACTTCCCAGGATGATCTGATGGTTCAGCCACCTTTGTTTGTGCATCGACTCAAGTCCAGCTTTGATGAGCTTTGTGACTTCAATTAGCGTTGTTGTGTAGAAACTCTAACTTCGCACCCCATTATTGCTTCTTTTTAATGATATTAGTCAACTTCGACATGTTTGGTAAGCGTTCCAATTCAATCCTAAGTCGTCATTCTCGCATCAATCAATGCATCGAACAGTCCATCATGAATTGACAACGAAGAAAGCTTCAAGAAATCATCAAAACCAACATAATGTTCAACACTAGCTTGCTTATTACAAACATGTCAAGCAAGTAAGCACGAAACAACAAAATGCCGAAGAATAAATATATAGGATAATCTAATCCCAACCCAATAGAAAATAATAAAAAAACTTAAAATGATAAAACTTTAATTAGGACTTGTGAACATAAGTCGTCTTCTCGTGCCAAAATGTAACCTATGTTGTCATTATTTGTCGCCACCTACCTCGCTGCTAGTCTTTCTCTCTTCTCCTCTTTCTTTTCTTCTTCAATGTCTCTTTTTTCTTCATTTTCTTCTACCTCACTGCTCCTCATTTTCTTTCATGTCAGTATATCGACATCGACATATATATATATTTATATATATTGCAGAAGAGTTTGAGGTAATTTAGATATACGTCGTGTGATTATTATTTTATATTGTGCTTAGAATTGTATCACCGTGGGTTGACAGGAGATCATCGAAGGCTTTGTCTGTCTCTAACCAAATCTATCCTAAAAGGATAGGGTAAGACTTATCTAAGTTTCACAAATAAGACAAAGTTGGATCTTCAATTCTAATCTATCTTCATCACTTATTTTTTATTTTTAAATTAAGAAAATTATAAATAAATAAATAAATAATATTTTTGTATGATATTTCTTATGACATGTCTATGGTAAAGGTATAATTTTTATGATGATAAATAATATTATATATGCTAGTAAAGTATCAAAAACATTAATTAACATCAGAAAGTCATGCCGTTGATGCTCTTCTAGAATTTCAAAAACATTGTTGTATTTCAAAAATTGGATGTTGGAGAAGGTTGATGCTCTTCTAGAATAATTTCTTTTAAGGTGAGTTTCTCTTATCACGAGCATCACGTGCAAATTTGTATCAGGAGTGTGTATGATATGTCTAACATTCAATTAAGTCATAGATTTATTAGATGGTCAAAAATAAAATTTAAGATCTTCATACATGAAAAGTCATATTTAAAGAGTGTTGTTGCGTTTGTACCATTAGAGAGTCAACGTGACCCGGTTCTATCCCAAAAGAATGGACCCATCCAAGAAATCGAGGTGATAGGTGAACTCTTGAGGCGTTACTAGCTCACGATGACTGACTCGCATACGTCCCGAGGTACAACTTGTCTACTGATTGAAGCTCGAAGTCATCCCATGATGCGCCTTGGCCTTGTCTAGAAGCACTTAGCATTGTCCCGAAGTGCCCGAAGTGCTCCTTAGATGCATCGGAGTCCTACATAAACAATCGACGTTCGACGGATATTTTGACTCAATCCTTTCAACGCTTAAGTCAGCAGAGTAGGTAAAGGTTTAGTAGAGCTTAGATTAAGTCTACCTCCTCTTTATCTAGTTTCAGAGACAGGCTTTTATACTTGATTCGTCGTGGTCACTCGCTCCTCCTCCTTGGAGCCTGTTGAATCATCAGGGGCTCATCTATATTAACGTCTAGCAAATACATCTTCTTAACAGTTATGTCAGGGAAGAATAACTAGGGGGACACCATTTGCCAGGGCAGGAGTGCGCCTAAAATGGACAAGCGATGGGGTTCAGTGTTAGACGTTTAAAGAGGAGAGCTAGGCCACACCGTTTATGATTAATGCTCCTTGCGATTAGGCGTGTGAGCCCTTCCGAAATCATGGCTAAGGGCAATAGGTCGTTGATGATTGACGATGTGATCGAGGGGGAAGCCGAGAGTACAGGCTTGGCCACCGTGTATCAAATGTCGACTCATGTGACTTCCTCAAAGATTGTGTTTCAAGCTCTTGCGCATGCGTGTAGACTCTAAGTGACAGCTTATGACTTGGCGAGTTGTCAGTCATTGCTTTCCCTGTCATAGAGTGATTCTGAATTATTTCTAGAATAATTTTTTTTTAAAAAAAAAATATTTCATCTCATACAGAGATGGATTTGACTGACTAGGCTTGATATGTAAGTTGGGATTAATTGAAAATAATTATCATATCATATGTGAACCATAAGCTCTTTCGATCGTTGAGAGTTCAAAACCATACTAATCCAACGTCCAAGTTTGTCACAAGTTTAGTGTCGGAAAACTAGATGATTCGATAATTGATTTATTGATGTGATTATTCTAAACCACTCTCTCAAAATTGTTTACACCAAATTATTAATAATAAACTCGATTCTTATCCACATCGCATGTGATTTTAAATTAGCATTTTTCAGTGAGGTCTCAATTGGACAAAAAATAAAGTCTCATTTTTATACTTTTTTTCACATCGGCCAAATCATGCAATATACTCTGCTGCTGCTGCTGTTTCGTACTCCGTCTCGGTGTCGTCTCCCCCCATCCTCGTCGCGAAGTCTATCAGCTCCAGCATTTCACAGATGTCCTCCATTCTCCGGTGCGACCGATCGCCCGCCACGAACACTCCCGTTTCCTCCCTTCCCACGCCGACACACGACCACCCGGCCTCCTTCCTCACCCCCTCCTCCCTCATCTTCTTCCTCTCCGTCGCTGCCTCCTGCCACCTCCCCTGCCCTGCGTATAGGTTTGCCAGCACCACGTAGGCACCCGCTCCACCTGGCTCCAGCTCCTTCACCATGGCCGCCGCCCTCCTTCCCCCTTCCTCGTCCCCTTTCGCCACACATGCTCTCATCAACGCCGCCCATAGCACCCCGTCCACCTCGCTCCTTGGCATTTCCTCAATCACCTTCTCCGCCTCCTTCACCCTCCCTGCCCTCCCTAACAGATCCACGATGCAGCCATAGTGCTCCCTCCCCGGCTCCACTCCGTGTTCCGTTCGCATCGATAGGAAGTACCGGATGCCACGATCCACCAGGCCGGCATGGCAGCACGCCGTGAGCACCCCGATGAACGCCACACCGTCGGGCCTCATCCCCGCCGTGCTTTTCATCCGGTCGAACAACTCGATTGCCTCTGCGCTCCGGCCGTGCTCCGCGTACCCTTTGATCATTGCAGTCCATGACACCACCTCTTCGGAGTTGCGTCCTTCAAACACCCGTGCCGCCTCTTCTAGGCTGCCGCTTTTCGAGTACAGGGCGATCAGCGCGCTGGTGATCATCACATCGTTGTCCAGCCCGGCCACTACCGCACGAGCATGGAGCTGCTGCCCGACCTCTAATGCTGCCGCCCACGCGCACAAGCCTAGCAGGCTGGGGAAGGTGTATTCATTGGGCGGTGGCCATGCAGCACGCCGCATTTCGCCGAACAGGGAAAAGGCCTTCTCCACGTCATGTTCCAGGCAGAAACCGGAGATGATGGCGGTCCACGAGACGATATCTTTCAGCATCGTATGCTGAAAGATGGTGTAGGCGGAGGCAAGATGGCCGGCGCGGGCATATAGGGTGACGAGGGCGTTGGACACAGAGCTGGCGGCCACGCAGCCCCGCCGGATGACACTAGCGTGCAACTGCTGCCCCAGCGTGATCTGCGCGAGCCCGACGGACGCGGAGATCAACGCGGCGTAAGTGTAATCGTTCGGGCTCACGGCATCGGAGGGGTCGGCTTGCATCCGGACGAAAGCTCGAATCGCCTCCTCCTCGCGGCCCGTCTGCACGTAGGCGACGATGATGGTCGTCCACGAGATCACGTCGCGGGAGCGCATCCGGTCCAATAACACCAGGCCGGGCTGAAGGACGCCGCACTTGGTGTACAGTGCAGCGAGCGTGTTAGCGACGAAAGAGGAGGTCTCCAGGCCGAGCTTCGCGACGTGGGCGTGGATCTCACGGCCGCGGTCGAGCAGGCGGGCGTCGGCGCAGGCCTTGAGGACGGTAGCATACGTGTGGGAGTCGCACGGCATAGCGGACGCCCACATCTCAGCGAAGCACCGGACGGCGTCGCGGCATCGGCCGGCGCGGACGAGAGCAGCGACGGCGCTGGTCCACGAGACTGCGTTTCGGGAGGGCATCTCGTCAAACGAGCGGAGGGCGGAGTCGTGGGCGCCGATCTTGGAGTACATGTCGAGGAGGGCAGTACCCACGAAGACGGATCCGGTGGCCTTGCCGGACTTGAGGGTGTAAGCGTGGAGGCATCGGCCGTGGAAGCCAAGGGCGGGACCGGAGGCGCAGGCCTTGAGGGCGACGCTGAGGACGAAGGGGTCCGGGTCGAGGGAGGGG